ATTATGATCATCTGTCGAAAACTTATTAAGATATTTAAAGTCAGATAATCCTGCACTAGAGCTGCTAGAGTGGGAATGTTTGTGGGAATAAAGAGTGGATCCACCATCTCCACTACCTCCACCACTACCACCGCCACCACCACGAATAGTATCATTACTCATTTGGCGCACGTGTGAATTACTTCCGTGGCGAATACGTGATTCTTCAACATATGACGATGATGATCCAAGGTCTGAGTTGGATTTTTCAGACATTTGGGGGACTTTCCAGTTGCGATCAAAAGAGGCGTCCTTTTTGTGGTACTGGTGCATTTGCTGGGAAGAAGACTGAGGAGAAGGCTTGTAAATTGAGTCATCACCTTTTAATGGGAAATCAAAATCAGAAGAATCTTGAGGATAAGAAAGACCTTGTTTTGAAAGATAATCATTGAGATACGCATTGTCTTTAGCTGTGCGAAGAACGGATTGTCGTTTAAACACAGGAGGAGCCATAAGGCCGCCATTTTCACCACCATTACTGTTATTGCTTCCATTATGGTTTCCTGACGAAGAAGCAGCTGTTGGGCTTGTTGTTGTTGTAGCGATTGCTTGGTTGTAAGAATTTTCTCTTTTTGAATCCGAGGTATCTTGCTTCAGCATAGCATTTAAGCTCTTGATAACTTTTGATATTTGAAAGCGGGTGCCAAAAGAAGGAATATCGATTTCTTTTAGATAAGCTAAATCGAGTTCAAGAAGAATGGGGCCTGTGATTTGGTGGCGGAGAAAGCATTCGCAAACTGCAGGCTCATAGCCCTGCGACAAAAAGTAGGTTTTAACTTGGAGAGGGGTCCATGATAAAATGTCAGACATGTTTTGCGGCAGGTTTGGGGGTGGCGGTGTGGCCACAGTGGGGACTGATATGCTGGAAGAACGCGAAGTATTTGAATCATAGGAAGATGGGAAAGGAGCAGCTGTAGTTGGAAGATAGGCCACGGGTGAGTTGGTAGTGCCCAGTTGAGAATAATGGTGGCGTTGTTGCTGGGGAGTATTTGAGCGAGGTAGTTGTTGATGTGATAAGACATTATCATAAGAGGCGTTTGCACTTGCAAATTCCGAAATGGCTTCATCAATATCTGTTAAGGTATCGTGGACAGAATCTGAGGGGTGTTGTATTGAGGCATAAGGAAGTGAATTTGAGGATGATGATGGAGAAGGTTGTTGGTTAATTGAGTTATTTGTAATAGTATTATTATTAGTTTTAAGATGGTTTATGCGTGACTTATTATTATTATTATTATTATCCAGAGGAAGTGAAGAAGATGAGCCTGCTGAATCTAATGGGGATACTGTGAGGATATTTGTTGGAGAATTTAGGGGGGCAGGAGTTGGAAGAACAAGACGGGTTGTAAAGGAATATGGGAACATACCCGCTTGTTTTGTACTGAGGTTTCGTCCCTAAAAAAAAAAAAAAAAAAAAGATAAAAGTGTCAGTTAAATTGCGGTTCAAAATTTTTTTTTGGTGAATAGTGATAATGAAAAACGCGTTTCATAAATTTAAAAAAAACAAAAAACAAGGGGGGATGAAATTCTTTTGTTTGTCTTTGTATCATCAAAAACTTACAATATACCAGCCATCATTAAAAGCTTGGTCAGTTTCTAAGACGAGAATATGATCACCTTTGCGCATAGTGAGTTCATCATCACTCCTGCTTTCAAAGTCATGTAAGACAATGAGATATATCAAGTCTGGTGAAGAAAGGTCTTCTTGAGATCCTGTATATTGTTGCTGTTGTTGTTGTTGTTGTTGTTGCATTTGGTTATGTTGGTGCTGTTGGAGGTCTTGCAACGGTGGTGCCAAATTTTGAAATGCTGTAGACATTGTGTGATAATTGATAATGGTTGTTTTCAAAGGAAACTGGTAATACTTTGAAAAAAAATTAAAAAAAAACGTTTAAAATGATGGGAATTTTTTTTTTATTTTCTTTCTCAAAAGATTTCTTGTGCTTTAATAAAGTTTCTGTGCACAATAATTGGAATTATCAGAAAAAAAAAAAAAAAAAAAAAAAAAGAAGAGCAAGAAAAGAAAGAAAAGAAGCGTCCTTTTGGAGTATCCAAAAAAAAAAAAAAAAAAAAAAAAAACAGTCTGTTTTAGGGTTTTTTTCTAGTAAACTCTGACTGGCACTGATGAGGAATGAGAAAAAAAAAAATAAGTGAGTGGATCACACAGTTGATAAATGTGAAATTATCAAAATATATATATATTAAGATAATCAAAACTTCTTTTAATGAAATTTAAAAAAAAAAAAAAAAGAAACCTTTAAGTTGTACTGAGTGGTTAGAAAATTTTTAAATTTTCTAAATTTTTTTTTTTTTAAATTTTTTTTTAAATATATTTTTAAGTGAATGGTAAGAAGAAAAGAAATTTGGTGATGGCGGTGGAAAGAAAGAAAGAAAGAAGTTTTAGGTTGTTAAGTAAGTAAGTAAGTAAGTAGTAGTAGTAGTAGTAGTAGTAATAGTAATAGTAGTAATAGTAATAGTAGTAATAGCAGTAATAGTAATAGTAGTAATAGTTTTTTTTATGTGTGTATGTGATGATGAGATTTAAAACAAGAGGAGGTTTTTTATTTTTTATTTTATTTTATATTTTATTTTATTTTTAACAAGGCAGCCAGCCAGCCAGAACAGCAGCCAAGCAAAAAAAAAAAAAAAAAAAAAAAGAAAAAAAACCCCCCCGGCAGATTTAGATGGTGGTGTTATATATTACATAAAACTTACGTAACTTTAATGTTGCATAAAAACCCACTAAGGTTATTACATAATCTTTTATTTCCATAAACGGTCTTCTACACATACATCTCGCGTCGTGTCACAAAAAAAAAACATACACACACACACGCGTTCCTTAGTAATAAAATATTATTCATCAATACTCATCTCTGACTAATCTTACTTCAATGGCCATTGTTGTCCCAACCAGTCCAATTTCAAGTGCGGCTTATTACCATTCCACGGTTCCGAGTCTGGTCTAAAAGTCTCCGGCACAGTTAAATCATATGCCATCCGAACACATAGTAACCGACACTCAGGACCAACACCAAGAATTCCACGAACTTTCTCTGCTTCACTATCTGTTAATCTATCACGTCCATACACCGGAACCATCACCACAGAAGATTTTTTCTCCTGCTTCTTCTTCTCTCCACTCTCAGATAACAACTCTTCATGCCACCTTGGACTTAGCACCACTCCAAGCTCCCAACTGCTACCATCAACCCGAGGCCCGCTACCTTTAGGACTTGTCTTGGCTGCCCTTCGAATAACCCCCCAGGCTGATTGTGACAAGTTTGCAGATGTTAATACAACCCATCGGATCCGTGTCTTGTCAGCGTTTGTCCTTATATAAGTCTTAATGTGAGGCATGACACGTTGTCGTCCAGCCTTCAATGCCTTCCATTCACATAGCTGACCTTGACTACGCAAATTGTCAAGTCCTCCTCGAGAGTTTTCAAATAAAGCTACCCCAGAAGCATATCCTATTATTGATTCACGTACACATTCAACACTGGGCCATAGTAATTGTGTACGCTTCACAAGATCAGGCACATACTTATTCCCATTTAATGCCTTAAGAATCGTTTCTTTAAAGTACTTTTGGTCCTTGCCAAAACTTCCTAAAGATGACACCTCAATGGTAAACTTGTCAGTAGACTCTTCTTTTTCTTCTTTTTCTTCTTTTTCTTCTTTTTCTTCTTTTTCTTCTTTTTCTTCTTTTTCTTCTTCTTTTTCTTCTTCTTTTTCTTCTTCTTCCACCAATTGGGCAAGTTTATTACCCAATCCATCTACCCCCATCCGTGGCTCTTGCCCAACATTGAAATTCCCAGGTGCAGACATGACCAAATCCACAGTCACCTCATCAAAACTAAACTTGCCCAGTTCATCAATAAGACCCTGTAAAACAGGTAACCGGTACAGCCTTAAATAGCCCAGAAAGTCGGCCCGGAAATCTCCCCGTATTTTAGTCTCTCCACGTCGCAAGTGCGGACTCATCCAGACCCCTTGCGTTAGTTTGTGCCAATCTAATGGTGTCAAATTGCTTGTTGATATTACTATTTGGAACCGTGTCACTTTCCCCAAATCCTTGGTATCTTCCTTCTCAGGATCATCCGTAAACCCAAGCACCATCAGCTTGGCATGGTGGATCGACCAGCTCTTACTTCGATGCAATGGTGCACCAGCTACTGGCGCTATGCGGTGTGCATCTGGTAATGACAGACGTTCTGAATTGTAATACTTTACATCCTGTGGGTTCCCACTTACTATGAACCATGACCACAAGTGTTTTCGAGTCCATGGCTCAATACTATTCATGACAAACTCAATATCGACTGAAAAATTGAATTGCCACTTTTAAATTAATATTAGAGCCGGGTTAACAAGTAATTAACAAGTAACTTGATACTTACCATATACTTGAGCCCTGCTTGGTTTAAAATATACTCAAGACCAACGGTATCCGAGTTTACCTCTGCTCCAAGATCATCAATACGTGATAATCGTAGTTCAGAGGAAATCACATTGGGATCTGTAAATTCCATCATCTGTGGCTTCTTAACAACCCGCGGAGGCTCTTCACTGGAAGAAGATCTTTTGGAACCCGTCAAGGGCTCTACAGACCTCTGTGCTGTGACCACAATCTCATTGTCACTCAAAGTCTCTATCGGAGCCTCATATGTATCCACAATTTCCACAGATGACGTATCCGAGTCGTCTTCTGGCGGTTCGTTTCCAAGCAGGTTATTTGATCGGTCATCTGACATTGTTTTGTAGAAAGAAGGAGGTTGAGGATTTTCAGAAAAGAAACATTTCCTTCCCTCTCCCTCGTTAATAAACAATTAAATCACGTGCATCACCAATATCTTAAAAATTAAAAAAAAAAAAAAAAAAAAAACCCCCAACTCTAACAAAAAAAAAAAAAAAAAATTGGGTTGTGTTGAAATCAAAATTCTTCCCAAATGCCACCAGATTACAATGACGACCGGGACCTCCCGCACAAATCTCCTTCAAGAAATATCCAGACTCAAGATCAAGACACACTGGGTCCGGCACCTCCGGTGACCCCACGCACACATCGAGTCTCATCTTTTACCACTCCCACAACAGGTCCTCCTCCCCGTACCTCTACCTCGCGTACTGGGTCTCGCACAGCTTCTCGGACAGGCATTCATACTAGCGGTGGCGGGCAATCGTCACGCAGAAGACCCTCTGCAGCCGAATACGAAGCATACTATTTTGGTACCTCGTCTCCGGCACATGTTCGTCACTTTTCAGCCGCCCATGCGCTTCCTCAGTTTCGCAACAGACTTGCAGCCTTATCACTGACGGCCAGCGGACACGAGACACGGTTTTTAGGCACACGTGGGGCTGACAGTAGTTCTAGTGGTGACCGGCTACAGGATCGACCAGGAATGGTTGCCGGTGGCGCGGGGTCGGGGTCAGGGTTAGGAAAGGGACTGGAATACGGTGATACCCAAAATAAACCAGCACCAATTGCTCCTACAAACTTTGTTGTATTTGACATTGGCAACCGCTCAATTCGTGCAGGATTTGCTGGTGATGCAGAGCCACGGTGCGTGGTTCCTGTGGATTTTGCATGGCAAAGGGTGGCACAAACACCTTCCAATTGTTTCCCTGTAAATTCCAATAATGATACCGATGATTCAAATTATGATCCGGCCGCACAAGAATACTCGCAGGACGCCATGGATTCGGACGAAGAAGACTTTGACGCAATGTTTGATGACACAACAAGATTGCCTGAAGAGTACAGACACACATTGTGGCGCGTACGCGAGGTGGGCGTCGTGCGGCCTACAGACTCAGATGGGACTCATGGCATAGGCGCGTCTGGTGGATCGTGGTACCGGACACATCCACGGCGGCGGCTCGAGACTCTTCTGGAGACCCTAGTGCGGTACATTTTCTCTCAGTAAGTGTTGATTACCAGATCATCTTTCTCCTGTCTAAATTCTAACCACCCGTTTTTTTTTTTTTTTTTTTTTTTTTTTAAGAGAGCTCTTGGTCAACCCACGATCTCAGCGTGTTGTTGTTGTGGAAAGCCCATTGTGGCCAGCTGCTATTAAACACTCAATAGCAAATGTTTTCCTTAAACATCTGCGTGTAAGTTTCCTTTCTACCTTTCCCTTCTTTTTTTTTTTTTTTTTTTTTTTTTTTTTTCTTCCTTTTAATCAAAATTGACTTTCTAACCCTCTCAGACCGCTTCACTCGCGTTTTTCCCAGCCCCTGTGCTCTCGCTTGTGGCCGCAGGCGCCCGATCCGGTGTCATTGTTGATATTGGGTGGGAAGAAACATGCGTTGCACCCGTTTGCGATTTGCGATTACTTTCGCCTGCCGTTGCTGCCACCTCACGTGCATCTCGTCGTCTTCATACACTTGTTTCCCAAACTCTTTGCGCCCACGCAATTGTCGTCCCAAACCAACTCCCAGGCCCTCTCCCCCAATGCGTCACTCCTGGACTCGTGTCTTTTGATGCTGTGGAATCTGTAATTGCTCAATGTTTGTATGAACATCACGATACTCCGGTCGTCGCACCTACAAAAGCTCAGAAACAAGTTGCTGCACTCCAGTTTATTCGCATCAATAAGGATACCGTAATTGCAATCGAGGCTGCGCGTTTGCAACACGCTCTGACATCTTGTTTTTTCGTAACCCCGCCATCGAATTCTCACAAACAACAACAATCCACACTCTCTCCCACTCCCTCTACAGTCTCCTTTTTCTCTCAGCCTTCATCTGTCTCATACTCTCAATCTCAATCTCAATTTCAATCTCAATCTCAATCTCAATCTCAGTCTGAGTCACAGTCTCAGTCACAGTCTCAGTCACAGTCTCAGTCACAACCACAACCACCAGCCAAGCGCTATGATGACCTCGATGATACCGACATTGCGACATTGGTCGCCCGCGTGCTGGCCGCGCTACCACTCGATGCCAAATCCTCCGCACAATCTCACATCGTCTTTACTGGCGCCGCCGCTTCTATCCCAGGCCTGCGCTCACGTTTGCTCCAGGACCTTCGCAGAAAGGTCGCGCATATGGGCGCAGGCGCCATGTCTCCACTCTACATCTCAGGTTCGGACTCTTTCGGTGCTTGGACAGGTGCAAGCATTTATCTATCTTCCCTTGGTTGGTTTTTCGCCCAAGATGCATCCGTTTCTTCTACATCTGCACCTGTTGGTGGGCCCAAAAACAAACTTCCTGGGGAAATGACTCGCGACGCGTATCTCACTCATGGCTACCACAAACTTAATCCTCCATATGGGCTGGTTATATAAAAGAATTAATGAATTACTGTTTCCACCTATCTTTATTAGACCTTATAAAAATTACATCTCAAATCTTGCAAACTCACTATCGACGGTAAAACCACCGCTTAAAAATATTTCTGCGGGGAGGCTCCTCAACCACGGGTTTTTGCACCCACTTGTTCTTCTCATCATTCTCCTTGTCGTCCTCTCCATCCTCATCCTCATCCTCATCCTCTCCACTATCAAATGCATCCGCATGCTCAATCCCTGTAAGAGACTTGTCGTAGTAATAATCCTCCATGCTTTTACGTGACGCAAGCGATGCCGCTTTATGAGCCGCTTCCTTGGCCTCGTACACCCGGCGCCGTTTTTCATCTTCGTCATGTTTTTTCTTGGCTCCAAGTCGTCCGTCTAGTGCCGCCTGTCGGTACTCGTACTCGCGCCGTACCCACGGCGTTTCATCTGCATGCGAAACATACAACGTGGTCCGGAACCGCGCCTTATCTGCTGCCCGCTCCATCTGCGGTCGCACATAGTCCAAAACATAAATCGATGCAAATCCAGAAGACGTTTCTGGACCAAGTGCAGATGCAACACCAGCCGCAGAAATGGGGCTAACTGCAGTGGGAGGCGCAAAAAACGAGTCAAACCCGCCAAGAGTACCTGCAGCTGCAGGGTACCGGCCCAAGTGCTCGGTGGCCACCTTAGACAAAACAGTCTGCATTGCCAAAGTCGTATGGTATCCTTCATCATCCTCATCTTCTTCTTCAAGTTCGTCAAAAAGTCTTTCGCTAGGAGGCTGGATCTTGTTTTTAGATTTAAATCCCAACCGCCGCCGGCTCTTAGTCTTCTTGCCATTCAACGCCATCTTCTCCATAAACTCTTCAAGCTTCATGGCATCATAATCTTCCAAACTATCTTCAAAAAATGGTGCCACTCGTACATCTGTTGCGTAGTGGTCCTCGCACGCACTCAAATCAATTCCCGGCAACTTGCGCACCTGCAGTGGCGCCACTGACGGCATGTTTTTGGGAGAAACAACCTGAGGTGACTCTGGTAAATGTATAGCTGAGCCTGGAGGTAAACTTACTGGTCGAGCAGATGGTTCAATAGGGCTTTCTTGAGGCCATGCGGAATCTGAGTAATTCGATTCGTCACTACCAGAACGCGTGTACTTTTTTTCAAAAGGCCATGCTTCTGCCCCTCGTCCATACTGCACATCTGGTATCACAGAGTTAGCTCATCATCTTTCAATCTAATCTACAGGGGTATACTTTCAATGCCAAATCCTTTGCGGCCCTTGACGGTGAGGTATTCTGTGGGGAATTCATCGGGGTATATTGTTTCCGTGTAATGGTGAGTACTTGTTGTGGTATTATTCTTAACAGGCGGATCATAAGACAATGGAGACGTGGCTGCAGTCGTTACCAATGTTCCGCCAGAAAATAGGCCGGCACTTTCAGAAGCGGATGAGAAACTATTTGCGCTGCGGGCGCTGCTGCTATGAGTCAAGCGTTTCATGGTTATGGTTGTGAGAAGAAGAAGAAAATAAAAAAAAAAAATTGCGTTTGTGTGAGTTTAAAACTTTTTTTTTTTAAAAAAAAAAAAAAAAGATTTTATAGACGTTACACCAAAACAACATCGCAAGTGTTATGAGCGTCTTGATTGAAACCACCGAAGGTAAGCTTAAATCTTGTATGATCGGTCTATGCTAACACAAATTAGGCGACCTTGTCGTGGACCTCTTGGTCGATGAGTGTCCTGTTTCCGCCACCAACTTTCTCAAGCTCTGCAAAGCAAAATACTTCAACCTCACCACCTTTTCTGCCGTTCGCCACGACCGTTTGTGCTATGCCGGATCACGCGCCCCGACTCATGGGGACTCTAGTGCATGGGGACTCACAGGAACAGAACCACAGACGTTTTACCCGGAAATGCAGACCCCTAAGATCATAGCTTCTGATTCACGGCGTTCCTTTGCCAATACAGGGACATTAGCGTGGGTCACGACGCCCAGCACGTCCGCAGTATCGGTTGGCCCGACGCGTGGAGGTGTACTTGCAGATTCCAAGTTTTGCATATCGCTTTCGGATTCAGTTGGAACTGGGTATGACGGAGATGTGGCAGTGTTTGGGCGGGTTGTTGAAGGCGTGGATGGCGCACTTGCGAAAATTAATGACGCGATTGTGGATGTGCATAACAAACCGTTGCGGCCAATTGTTGTGCTACACACGCATATTCTTGAGGACCCGTTTGATGAGATTCGTGGGTTGCGACTTCCTGAGTCTAGTCCGGAGCCTGACGAAGCTCAGTTAAAGTTGATTGAAGAAATGTCTGGGTCTTTGGACAAGGAAGATAACGAGGAAGATGAGAAGAGGAAAGAGCAAAGAGAGGCAGCGTCTAGTGCATTGACACTGGAGATTGTAGGAGACTTGCCTTTTGCAGAGGTTCTTCCTGAGGAGAATGTATTATTTGTGTGCAAGCTGAACCCGGTTACGGAGGATGATGATCTGTCGTTAATTTTTTCTCGGTTTGGGCCCATTCGGTCATGTGAAGTTATACGTGATACAAAAACAGGAGACTCTCTGCAGTATGCGTTTATTGAGTTTGAAAACAAGAAAGACTGTGAACTTGCCTATGCTAAGATGGATGGGGTAGTTGTTGATGACCGGCGGATCCATGTGGACTTTTCACAGAGTGTGGCTAAGATTGCGAAGCGGTGGAGAGATAAAGAGAATATGAAGAGACGAGGGGTAAGTGAAAGGAGAGGGGGGAGAGAAGATCATGAGCAGGATTACAAGCAACGAGATGAAAGATCAAGTCGTGATGAGAAAAGATATCGAGATGATGAAAGAGATGGTAGAAGGGACCGTGGTGGAAGAGATGACAGAGATCGTAGTAGGAGAGATGACAGAGATCGTAGTAGGAGAGATGACAGAGATCATAGTAGGAGAGATGACAGAAGAGACCGTGACGGAAGAGACCGTGACGGAAGAGACCATGACAGACGAGATCGCAATGGACGGGATCGACATGATAGAAGAGACCGAGATGATAGACGTGACAAAAGAGAAGACCGGAGAGAACGCAGTGATCGGCGGTACCGAAGCCGTAGTCCTCACCGTTCTCGTCGTCACTACCACTGAATTCTTTTTTTTTCGTATATATTGTTCAATTGTATATATTCTCCAATTGTATATTCTCTAATAATTGTTCATTAATTTTTTTTTTTTATTTGATTCATTTTATTCATTGAATGTACATAGACGGTAACTTTATAATGCAATTATTAAGAATGATCAGTCAAACATGGATTTCTTTTAATTTTTTTTTTTTAAAAAAAAAAAAAAAAAAAAAAAATTCATTTTGCAGATGCTGGTGCTAAAATATTTCCAATATATTCTTCCAGATATTTGTTTTCTGCCAGAAGCCCAGAAGACTCGTTCTGTAACGCTCGGATTTGTTCGACAGCAGTATCAAGACGTTGCCGCAGTTGTTTTGCTTGCAATTTAAGGTCCTGGGTTTCTCCATCGGTGGATGTAGCTAACTGAGGTTCACTCATTTTTTTTCTTTTTTTTTTTTTTTTTTTTTTTTGAAGGAAAAATGAGAGGTTTGAAGATAGTTGATTGAAAAAAGTGAAGAGAGTTTGAAAAGTTTGGGATTTAAAAAAAAAAAAATAAATAAATTGAAAAAGAGATTAAGAAATTAAATAAAATAAAGCAGGACTTGAAAGGTGATTTTAATTTTAACAAAATAATTTAAATTAGTTAAATTTAAACTAACCTTTTTATTAAAAAAAAGGTTAAAGTTAAAGTTAAAGTTAAAATTAAAATTAAAAATTAAAATAAATAAACATTAGTAATCATATTAATTTAGTTTAATATATATATTAAATTATTTCGGAGCAAACAACCAGCATTACAGCAACTTCATCCGCAACAGTCAAAGCCTCAAAATCTTCTTTCCACCCCTCCCCTTCCTAAACCCTCAACTCCTCCCCCAAAAATAAAAATAAAAATAAAAATAAAAATAAAAATAAAAATAAAAATAAAAGCCTCAGTTTTTGGCTCAATTGCTTCCAGATCTAAAGGAACTTCTCTTATAGCAATGACCCCTCCGGCCCCACAAATATTACTTGTGTCGGTTCGGCGGCGGCCGCAAATTCCCCGACTCTCGGTACTCAATGTTCTCTTCACTTTAAAATGTTGTTGCACAAGACATCTATCAGATATCGGTAAAGCACCCCAAGAAAATGCGCCGCACACAGTCTCTGCAACACCCAAACCTCGCAACAAACAGATCAAGCAAGATCTTGTTGCAGAGTTCCGAGACCTAAGACCAACATACCTAGCACCAAAAGATCCAGTTGTTTTATGTCATGGTCTCTTTGGGTTTGATTCGCTGAGTCTGTCTCTCCCATTTGCGCGCAAATTACAACTGGAGGGACCACCTGAGATCCAAAACGAGGGAATAAATAATAATAAGAATAATAATAGTAATAATAATAGTAATAATAATAGTAATAATAATAGTAATAATAATAGTAATAATAATAGTAATAATAATAGTAATAATAATAGTAATAATAATAGTAATAATAATAGTAATAATAATAGTAATAATAATAGTAATAGTAATAGTAACAATAAGAAGAAACTCAACAATGTTAAAATACCTAACAAGGGCCTCGCAGCATCTATCAAGTACTGGCGTGGAATCCAGGAAAGCTTAGAAGCCAGTGGAGTGCAAGTATATACTGCAGCAGTAGCACCCACAGCAACCATTGAATTGCGTGCAAAGTATCTGGAGCGTGCAATTCTGTTGCAGATTGTCAAGCCTTTACAAGACAATGCTTGTGGAGCACCATTAAAGGGTCCGATATACATCAATCTTGTGGGACATTCGATGGGTGGGCTTGACGCGCGCTATTATATTTCCAAATTATTGCCACGATATAACGAGTTGGCCCGGCAATCAGGACAGCCCGAACGTGCTTCAGATACAGATGAGTTTACTCGGTCATTGGTACAGGCATTAGATTTAGGATCTGGAGGAGGAGGAGGAGACGGGAAGCCTTGGACAATTCCAATTCCGGAGATTTGTGTACGGTCACTGACTACGATTTCAACACCACACCGAGGATCATCATTTGCAGATCACTTAATGGCATCGCCATTAAGTCCTGCGCGTGTGCCAGGGTTATATAAACTTCTTCCATCATTGGGATTTGATTATGCGTTTGATCGAAACCCTTACTCCAAATCAGGTGCTATACTTCAAAACGAAGCTCAAGCACCAGCTGACGAAACCACAGGAGCGTTTCGACAGTTGACACGAGCATATTTAACTAAAACTTTTAATCCAAATGTTCCAGATGACCCTTCGGTAGCATATTTTTCATATGGGTCTGCATATTGGCCACAATGGTGGCACATGAATTTATTTTTCGGACCTGCACAGAAGGTAATTTATTCAGAAGAGGGTCCGAATGATGGGCTTGTAAGTGTGGCCAGTGCACGATGGGGGCATTATCTGGGGACAATTGAAAATGTGAACCATTTGGATCTGATTAATGTGAGTATTTTTGGGAGGTTGATAATGATGAATTGACTAACGATTTCTTTTTTCTTCTTCTTCTTCTTCTTTTTTTTTTCTAGTGGCCAAACTCATTTGACTTGATGTGGGCACATTTGATTCATCGCAAACCACCATTCAATGCCATTGCAATGTATTTGAGCATCACTGATATGCTTGCACGGGAAGGATTTTAAAAGGTGGCATTACCATTATTATATATAAATTGCATATTATGTATATAAATAAATAAAAATAAAGAAATATATATATATATATATATATATATAAAATACTATACTATACTATTATTATATTCGACTTTTAAATCTTAGACTGAGCTGGAAGAAACCGGGCTCCTGCCTTCTCAAGTAGTCCTCGGAGTTTGTCATCTTCACTAAGTTGAGCCAAATCGGAGCTCCCACCCACGTGGCGAGTCCCGATAAATACGCTAGGGACTGTACGTTGACCCGTCATAGATGTAAGAGTATCTTGAATTTCCTTACCATTTGCTTTTTTTTGAATAATAATAATAATAATAATAATAATAATATTAATTAGTTAGAAAGATTGAAAAAGATTGAATGAAAAATAGATTCTCTCTTTCTATATATATATATATTAAAAACTCACTCATATGGTCTAGTTCAATATAGGCATATTCAACACGTAAAAGATCAAGTATAGTTTTTGCTCTTGAGCAATATGGACAGTAGCTAATATAATCAGTTAGTTAATTGTTTGATAGATGTAGGAATCTCTAATAAAGAAAAAGACGATATACCATATATATCATATATATATCATATATATATCATATATATATCATATATACAATATATATATATATATATAAACATACCTTTTTGAGGCCATAAACACTGGGTTTGATTTAATAAGTCCATCAAGGCCCTTTTTGATATCTGGGCCATCTAAAGCCACAATCAAACGGCCTGGAACAGCAGCAGCAACCGTAGAAATGCCTCTGTAAAGTTTCAACATTTTATTAATTTATTTTATTATTATTGTGATAAGAAACAACAAAAACAAAAACAATAAAAATAAGAGCCAATAAAAAACTCTTCAAAATTTTTTAAAAAAAAACAATTACTATTATTATTATTATTATTAAAGGAGTAGTTATTTATATATACCAACAAATCTACAAAAACTTTACTGCTCCTCGGGAGCAGGGACCTTGGAGCCGGTGGTAGGGAGACCGACGTAGGCCTTGAAGGAGTCGTAAAGGAGCCATTGGAGACCAGTAAGGGTACCAATCATGACAATACGGACAGGGAGACCGTTCCAGAGACCACCGAAGCCAATCTTGCTGTAGATACGGGAGACGGCAGCACCGGTAGACTCACCGGGAAGCTTATCAGCGTTAACCTTGGAAACCATGACATCAGCGGGGTGAGAAACAATGGCGCAGAAGACACCAGCAATGTAACCACCGAGGAAGGAAACACCAGTCTGGGCAAGAAGAGAGTACTCCTCCTTAGACTTGGGGAGCTGCTTGTAGATAGCCTCAACAGTCTTCTCAAAGGTAGCAAACTTAACCATGGTGTAAGGAATTTGACGGAACCAAAGAGGGACAAGACCCTTGTAAAGGGAACCGAAACCTTCAGCAGCAGTAATCTTCTTGTAACCATCGAAAACACCAGAGGCAAAGGGAGGAATGGAAGTCTGGGTCTTGACTTTAATGGCTTCCCAAGGGCAGAGGAGGATATCAGCAATGAATTCAGCAGAGGCGGAACCGGCAAGGTAAATCAGAGTCTTGTACTTTTCAGCATTTTCAGGGCCAACGAGATCACCGTAGGTCTTCTTAAAGTACTCGTAGAAACCGTACTTACCGGCACCTTGGAAAGAGTAACCGATAAAGGTAGCACCGAAACCGGTAAAGATACCACCAAGACCCTCAGTGGCAATGATGGACTTCCAGCCCTGGACGTTAGAAGTGTAAAGGTTAGGGTTGACTTGTCTGCGGCACTTGACAAGATCAAGGGGGGTGACGAAAGCGTGGGTAGGACCGCAAGCAAGGATACCACCGAGAGTGCAGTACTTGTAGTATTCAAGAGTGTAAAGGGGGATAGTCTTCTTGGGCTTGATGGCAGCGGCGACCTTAACGGCCTCGGCCTCGACGGCCTGGACGGCAGCTTCAGCCTTCTCCTCAATAGAGGAAGAGACGAAGAATTGCTTAGAGAAGGAGGACTTAAGAGAGGAGGGCGAGGGGAAGAGGGCCATTGTGGAAAATGGGTTGTGTAGGTTGTTGGGGTGGGAGTCTAAAAAAAATAAAGATTTGGACTTAAAGAGAAAAGGGGAAAAGGGAAAGAAAAAAAAAAAAAAAAAAAAAAAAAAAAAAGGGGAAATTCTTAAAATTTTCAGGATTCTGGTGTCTTTTTATAGTTTCTAAAAAAAAATAAAATAAATAAATAAAGAGTAATTTTTTTTTTTTTTTGGTGATTTGCCTTGTTAAGGTAGAAAAGCGCGACTGACAAAAAAAAGTTGACAGGCTGTATGGCTGTATGGCTGTATGGCTGTATGGGTTAGCTGTATGGCTGGCTTTATGGCTTTATGAGATTTTGGCTGGCTAGCAAGTAATAAAAAAAAAAAAAAAAATTTAAATTTCCCCTAACCCTATCATTAATACTTTTGCCCATTGGACATTTTTAGATGCGCTGATTGGATGGATTGCGCAGATGTACGGCTGATGTGCGCAAGTCTTCAGTTAACTGACTGGCTGGAAAAACTTTAGAAAAGAAGATAAAAATAAAATAAAAATAAAATAAAATAAAAATAAAAAATTTATATATTTTAATAAAAAGATTTTTAAAAATTAAATGAATTATTTTTATATTTTTTTTTATTTAATTATTTAATTATTTAATTATTCGTAGTGGTTAAATTAAAATTAAAATCTAACTGATTTCTCTCAATTCATTTAATATTGCCAGGTTTAAAATTAAGTCGAATACTTATTTTTTTTTTTTTTTACTACAGTAGAAATATCCATCATCATTTATCATTTTACATAACAACAACAACAACAACAACAACAATTGGAGAAAAAAAAGCTTATCTGAAATTTTACTACTACTACTACTACTAATACTATTTTTTTTTTTTTTTTTTTTTTCATATTATACTGAAATTTTCAAATAATAAAATCTTTCAATTTATATAATGCCGTTTATGATTTATTCCGAATAGTTCGCTAAAAAACAATAAAAAAAAAAAAAAAATAAAATAAAAGGACCCGCCTAATGCGGCGCCACTGTTATACCAGCTTGTCGATAATAAATAAATAAATAAATAAATAAATAAATAAATAAAAATACCTCGTTCCGATACCCACATGTAAATCACATGATCATCATGTGGTAGTCATGTGATTTATCAGCCTTGTTTACTTTATTTTTATTTATTTTTTTTTTTTTCAACCTTCTACAAAAACCTTCAAAAAATAAAAAAATAAAAAAATAAAATAAAATAAAATAAAATAAAATAAAAAAAAAAATGGCACATCGCCAAACAAGCAAATTCTTGCAAACCCCCTAGAAATCTCTCCTAGAAATCTCTCCGAAATAATATGCCAGCTGCCGCTGCTGCTGCTGCTACAGAAAACAACCAGCAATCAAATGCCTACGTCACATTCACTCATAAAAATACTGAGTATAGACTCAGATTGGTTTACTGGAATGCCCTTATCCAATACTCTTACTTCCATGCCCTAGAAAATGCTCGACCAAAAATCCTCCATAACCCAGAATTCCTCACCGCCCTAGTCACAGACTATTACGCTCCTGGATCTTATACAAAATATAACAACTACCTTGATAATTATACAGATCTTTTAAATGGGAACCCTCCACAAATTGCCATCAATGATCTCCTTCCAAACCCGGATTTTGACTTTGCAACAGCTATACTCTCTCTTCAACACTGGTACCATTGCAAACTACTCCCTCAAGTAGCTTCCATCCTTCAAACTCTTGGTATCTCTCTCGAATCTTTAAAAACTTTTGAACATCATCGTGATCTAGAACTTGCAATTCGCCATGGTCGCTTTTCACAGCCTACTTCCACTTCCTCTTCTACTTCTACTTCACAAGAAACTTTCTTTTTTGAAAACCCAAATGCACTCCTCACAAACAAATCAGCCTTGGCCGCATTACTCCCAGAATATAGACGCGTCCTTAAATTTCTTTTTGCACCATCTCCACCAGACTACCTCCCTCGTCTCTCCTTTGACGACGATGCTCTCCCAGTCTTACAAGCCCTCGGCTCGCTTCCTAGATCAGCTTACCTGGCTGCCACCTCTGATTGCACTGCTTCGCTTGTCCGTGCCATTCAATCACTTCTCCCATCCCATGATTCTTCAGGCATTTTTTCCGATCTTGTACATTATGACCCAGACTTAAATAATCATTCCCTCGCTTGGTTTCTCGACACTCTCGACGATGCTATGACTGCTGTTGCATGGAATTATCCACTACCACGTGACTACTTTTATCTCATAGATGCAGGCCTACTAGACCACCCTAAAACTGGCACACCGGTTTGTGACCCCCTACGTTCCACAGCGTTGGAAACTTACACATTTCATCGAGAGTTATTGGTCAAAGATTTCCAGCTTTCTGTGGCATATAAACTTTTACAATCTGACCAAGCAATTGATGAAGGAAAAGAAATTGATCCGGATAACGAGAACAACCAAAATGAGTCAGAATTTGAAGCGTTTTATAAGAAAATATTTTATGTCTTTGACAGAGACCCAAGACTAAGAACAACACGTGCAAGAAATCGAGTCCGAGAATTAGTATGGTCAGGTAATTATCGAAATGAATCTGAACGGAGTGTTGCCGAGCAATTAGTAGAAGCAGAGCTTAGGGCAATTGATGAGAATAAAGAAAACAATGTTATTGAAGAAGAAGAAGAAGAAGAAGAAGAAGAAGTGATTAATTATGATAGCATCAAACAAGATACCAATGAAAATGACCAATCTGAGCAAGAAGAAGAAAATGAGGAAGACCAAGACGAAGATGAAGATGAAGATGAAGATGACAGTGGCTGGGAAGACGAAAGTTTTTCTCCAGAATCTTTAAGCAGCTCTCCAGGAAAATCGTCCGGTTCGGTTATTCCAATCCTTGCATCCATTTTGCCACCAGTTTCTCCAAGACTTTTAGCATCACGCCAACTGCAACATCATCAAATGCAACAGCAACAGCAACAGCAACAGCAACAGCAACAGCAACAGCAACAGCAACAGCAACAGCAACAGCAACAACTTCCGTTTCAAACAACCACACGGAAAAAACGCGTTTCTTCGTTGATTGCGCGTTTTGAAAAACCTTAAAATTTAGAAGCAAATAATAGAGAAAAAGAAAAAATAAAAAAATAAAAAAATAAAAAAATAAAAAAATAAAAAAAGTCAAAAGTTTTTTTTTTTTTATTTTTATTTGTTTTAGTTTAAACATCAATTAGATAATAGAGTATATATATATACATTTATAATAATTAATTTTTAATTTTTAATAATGAAACTTTATAAACAAAAAAAAAAAAAGATTCCTATTTTTTTTATATGTTAAAATAAAATAAAATAAAATAAAAGTAATTGAAAAAAAATACTGATTCGACCCAGGATCGAACTGGGGACGTTCTGCGTGTTAAGCAGATGCCATGACCGACTAGACCATCGAACCAATTTTTTATAAAAATTTCATATTTTAACATGAAAAACTTTAATTTCAAAATTTAAACATTAGCAGATAGCTTTATTTAGTATAAATTTTAAAAAGTCTATTGTTAAAAAAAACAAAAATTTTGTAACAGGAACAAAATAGATAGTATTGATGCTGATATTATATATATATATATAATTTCTAATAACATTTAAAAAAAAAAATAAAAAATAAATAAATTGATGCTGACGTGATAAATTTGTATGGTCCTTGAAGAGGTAGACTGTTTAAAAATTTAATATTTTAAAAAATATCAAGATTTCTGAAAAAAATATCAAAAGTATATTCCCCCTCCCAACACATACCAAATACTATCTAACCACGTGCACTTCTTAATTATATCCTTTAATTAAATGCCTCTTGTAATTATAATTCTTCCAAGATCCTTTTTTTTCTCTCTCTTTCTCTCTTTTTTTCTCACTTTCTCTCTTTTTTTCCACTCTTTTAAAGTCGTTATATAGCACGTTGTGATTCCTAGTTGTGTAGTTTGGCAATAGTTTTTTTTTATTTAATTTAATCACTACCACTACCGCTACTACTACTACTACTACTACTACAATTATTTTATCGTTCCCTTTAAAGCATCCGATTGACCGAGAGTCTGGAAAAAAAACTACTACAATTTTTTGAAATACTCTATGCTTAAGAGTATTTCATAATTAGAAATAAAAAAAAAATAGTAATAATAACCAAGGTAAATATATAAAAAAAGTTACTTAATTGATTTTCTTTCAAAAAAAATAATGTATTTGAAGTTATTGAGTCACGTGCTATAATTTATAAGATTGTAAGGTTTATTTGTGTGTGTGTGTGTGGTTTTGACTCCCCATAGGTTCTGACATACAACACCATAACAAAATCATTTCTTTAGTCTTTAAACATTTTTTATCTTTTTTTCATTGTTATAAGCTTTAATTGAAATTTTCTTTAATGGTTTTGTCAAACGTTTCCAAAAAAAAAAAAAAAAAAAAAAAATCCTCTTGTAAATATTGTTGATTACTTGGATTTCCAACAATAAAAAATAAAAAATTCTAAAATGACCCTATCACCATCCGTATTGAATCAGCCCTCCATAAAAAAAAACACACACACTCTCTCTCTCTCTCTCTCTCTCTCTCTCTCTGCATTTGGTTCCATTCATATCCGCTTTTATTCTATCCAATAATAAACCTATTGATCCCGCATATTCAAGGCTATATCATGCTCCATAAAAAAAATTCAACCTAAAAAAATAGCCACTCAAATATATGGATTTTCTAAACTGAAAAATATAAATGGAAATATGTTGCATCTAATAAGAAAAAAAATTATAATAAATTTTATAATAAAAATTATATCCCATGGATGATTTATATTGCTCTTTAGATGAAAACAAAATAAAATAAAATAAAATAAAAAATATTGCTCTTCGATCATTCATTCGTTTGTTTTTTTATTGATCCTTAGAATCAATCAATATAATTGCTCTAAGCTTTAACAATTAAATTCCTAAAATATATTACCATTTGTTAAAATAAAAAGAAATCTTTTAGTAACTCAAAAGTTTCTTGACCCAAAAGATCTTAAAAACTACTCATCACTAAAAGAATTCCCCCTCCACTATATATGCTTATGTAATATCACAAAAATGAAAATTTAAAAAAATAAAAAAATAAAAAAAAAACACATTTTTCATCAAAATCTCTACCTTTAGAATATGAAAGCAATTTGATTTTACTTGATTCAAAATATATAATTCCCTTAAATTAGACCAAACAAACAAAAAGTGAAAGGTCGTACCCGGGATTGAACCGGGGTCACCGGAATCAGAATCCGATGTGCTAACCACTACACTATACAACCCAAAGCTTGAAAAAAGTAAATAGCTAACTTTTATAAAATTTACTTGAACAAAAATTGATTAAAAATGACTTTTTTTTTTATTTTAAAATTCATTTTTTTAATGAATCATTTATTTTAAATAATCATAAATTTTTATTTAATTTAATTCTTAAAAAAAAAAATAAATTACTTCCAATTACATTGAAAAATCAAGTTTTGTTACCAGTGGATAGTAAAGTCTGAATATCACAAGAAAATGTTTCTAAATTTTGACATTTTTTAAAAAAAAAATAGTTACCATATCAACAAGAAACACTTTTATTTTTTTTCATTTCTCTCAATACTTTTAACCTTACATTTTTTGTCATATTTCTTTTTTTTTTTCATAATCATCTCACTATTAGAAAAAAAAATAAATATACATATTTTAATCGATTTCATTGTCTAACAAAAGAATAATTATATATAAAAAAAGGCCTTGCTGGTTTTTAAAATTATTAATGCCTTTTATTTTTATATTTATATTGTTTATTTTGAGTTAGGGGTTTTCCCTATCTTTTATTTTTTCCTTGTCCCGAAACAATGAGACACTTTTTTCTTTTTTTTTTTTTTCAAATGGTTCATTTTAGCTCAATTGCTCTCCTCGATCTTATTACCCTCTCTTTATTCTTCTTTATAGTTTTAAAATAACCAGCTAACAATAACATGTCGATTTCATTTGTATCTTTCATTGATTTCCAATCTTATGAATTATTTTGAGCTACTTGTTTCTGAAAAATATAAAAAACAATATAAATAACAGCCATCATTTTATCTTTTTTTTAAAGAGACTTGCTAAATCGTATCGAAAATCATGCTATATTTAATTCTATTTTTCGGAATAAAAAAAAACAACTTGAATGAAGAAAAAAAAACCTCCATTTTGTCCAATTATTCAATTTGATTTCTTTTTCCATCAATTTCACATCTTGACTCTAATCATAAATAACTTTTCATTCAAATTCATTTCCCAGTATCTGCATTAAAAAATATATACGTAATTTATTTTCATTAATTTATTAAAAATTAAAAAGACATTCATTCTTTTTTTTTTATTTTCATAATTCACCAACGCCTTTAGATTCCAGAGTTCATGATCGGTGGATATATATATCTCAATTACATTAAAGTACAAAGCAATTAAAAAAAAAAGAATACGTCTACTGTTCTTCATCTCTTTTTAGCCTTGAATATTAAGCTGTCAAACATGATTCATAGGTCGCCCGTATCGTAACAACAAATCCCCACAATTTCCCCCTTATTTTTTTTTATTTATAGAAAAACCTCAACAATTATTGTTTATCTATCCAACTTTCACTCACACCTCATATATTCTCATTTTTTTAAAAAAAAATATCTATTCACGGGACTTTTATGCCAAATTCTAACTGGCTATTATCTTTCTTTTTTTTTCATTTCTATTTACCACCATTAAAATATAATGACATTTGATGTTTCACAAGGTTCGTGTGAATTTCAGATCTTATACTAGCTACCTGTCTCACCTGAGAAACAATAAAACCGCACAAAATGTTATTTTCTTCTCTCACTGTTCAAAAGTCTTCTTAAGAAAAAAAATTAAAAAAAATAAAAACCTCTATTGTTTGAAGGTAACGACAGTCTATATATTAAATGATTCACCCATTCATTTGCTTGAACTTTTGTTTGCAGATTAACCAAGAAAAACAATGTGGTAGTTCCAAAGAAATGAGGAATCAAACATATGTCAATTTCATTAATAATAAAAATAGAAGAAGAAGAAAAAAAAAAGCCAAGCATGCAAATCAAGCCCTTCTCCCGTCTTCAAACATGCATTGCTGTGGGACTAGGGCAGTTATTGTCTTGGAGTCAAAATTAAAACTCTGGAGATAAATTTACCCAAAAATTAATTTTGGAAAATGGAGGCTGATAATGGCAGATGTAAAAAAAATTAAAAAATTAAAAAATAAAAATAAAAATAAAAAAATAAAATAAAATAAAAAAAACAGGTCAACTTGAGGAATTTGCCAATTTTTCAAACTCAAAATGAAAAAATGAAAAAATGATATCTGGCATTTTGGTTTCTCAAGTATAAAAAAGAATCAAGTTTCCATCATATTTCTATTTTTTTTTCCTTCTTCTTTTCATCATCAATCAACTGGTTTTGATTTTTACATTCCTTTCTAACTACATCCTTTTTTCTTTCTCTCTCGATTTGTTTACTTTCTTTAATCAAGTTTTCTAAAAACTTTTCTAACAACTTTTTTATCCAACTTTTATTACTTACATTCCTTCAAAATGAAATTCTCTAAGGCTACTGTCCTTCTTTTTGCTTCTTACGCCCTTTCAGCTCCCATTGCTAGTCCTGAGGCTAAGCCTTGTTCCACCTGCTCTTCAGGTTCTTCAGGCTCTTCCGGTTCTACAGTCTACCCCGTCGTTATTGGCACTATTGGCACCACTAGTGGAACAAGCGGTGGCACCACCTCCAACTGCGGCTCCAGTGGAACTGGTAGCTGCGGTACTGCAGTTGTTTCGGGTACTGGCTCCTCTGGCTCTGGTTCCGGGTCTGGCACCTCAGGAACTGGATCCACTGGCGGTACTACTACTATAGTCACCAGCGGTGGTTCTGGCGGCTCTGGCGGCTCTGGCGGCTCTGGTGGTTCCAGCGGTTCCAGCGGTTCCAGCGGTTCCAGCGGTTCCAGCGGTTCCAGTGGCACCTCAGGTACTTCTGGGTCTGGCACTTCGGGTACTTCTGGATCTTCTGGATCTGGCACTTCTGGATCTGGCACTTCTGGTTCTGGTACTTCCACAACCAACAATGGCTCTACTGAATCCTCCGGTACCTCTGGTTCATCTGGCACTGGTTCATCTGGCACTGGTTCAACTGGTAGCGCCGGTACAACTGGTACTGGAACTACTGGCTCCACTGGTGGAACCGGCACCACCGGTAACGAGGCTACCACCACAACCTCTGGCGGTACTACCACTACTACCACTACCACTGGAAATGGCGGCACTACCGTGACTACCAGCGGTGGCAACGGTACTGGTGGCACCACCACTACCACGACCAACGGCGGGACTACCTCCAACAACACGGTCAACAACTCCAATACCTCCAATAACACTTCCAACAATACTAACACCAACAACAACACCAACAACAATACCAATAACAATACCAACGACAATACCAACAACAACACCAACCAAAACACTAACCAAAACACCAACGACAATACCAACTCCAACTACGCTGAAAACTTCAACACAAACTTCAATACAGCCCAGTTCTATGTTCTTTCCAGCGGCCTCATTTCTTCTGAATATGTGTCCGGGTGCATCCCATTCACTTACACCCTTAGCGGCAACAACCTTGTTGCTTCAAGCCCCAGTATTTCAAACGGTTACGTCACCGTTAACAACAATGGTGCTCTTGAAGTTGTTTCTGGTTCTGGTTCTGGCTCCTCTGGTTCTTCAGGAACCACAAACTGGTACGGCGTTGACACCGGATACTACCTCCCATCTACAAGCAGCAGTGCTACCCTTATTTCTTGCCCTAGTGGCAGTTCTGGTAGCGGTGGTGTTATTTACTACAACGCTTCTTGCTCCAACGGTCAAGTGGCCGCCATTGGCAGCAGCGGTAGCTGCGGTCTTGCCAAGTAAAGTCTTTATCCAAGACTCTCGTTGTGCATTTTTTTTTTTTCAATCTTTTCTTCATAACATTATTTATTTATTTATTCATTTGATCAAAGTAGTCACAAATTATTTATTTATATAAGGCAATTGAAATTTTGAAATAAGAAACCTGGCGCTGGCAAAAAAAAAAAAAAAAAAAAAGAGTTATATCTCTCCACACTGTTTTTACAAAGTAATTGCTACTCAGTTCCAAAGTTTCAAAAAAGTTATCGACACCAGCAGGACTCGAACCTGCGCGGGAAATCCCAAAAGATTTCTAATCTTTCGCCTTAACCGCTCGGCCATAGTGCCTAATCACGTGCTCTTTAGTCGATATAGTGATAAATATTTTAACTAATTTAAAAATCTATTTAGTGTATATTAATAATTTTTAATAATTAAAAGCTGCTTAGTGTAAAAGGTAACACATTTGCTTAATAGCAAAAAATACTGGGTTTGATTCCCAAAATACCTTACCTTTCCTGATGGATTGTAAAAGAGTACACACCTCGACTGAAACCATAGGCTACCTTTGCTACAGGAAAGCCGATTCTTCTATTCAGTCCAATTAGCCGGTAGGTGATTGCGGGCAGTATCTTTGACGGAGCATTTTAATAAATGCACGGGTGTCCGTGAAGATAATTATCTACTTATAAGTAGAAATAAGTAGGGAAGGTTTGGGACCAACAGAGTGGCTCTTTATGTTCCTCGTGAGCTGGCATCAGGACCGATCTTACGTGCCAGGAGAGACAAAAATTTTGTTGATAAAAATGATGGAAACAAGATACACAAGAGAATTGAGTGTCTTACACTAAAACAATAACAGAATAAGACGATTGAAATTCTAAAGAGCAGAAAATAAAATGGATTTTTTCTAAAAGAAAACACTTATTAATACAGTAAGAAGAATTCGTAGTATTACAATATTACTCTGGTATTAAAATGTACAAAAAATCTTTCTAAAATTGGTTTGGGAGTAATAATAAAGAAAAGTGATGAGTAAATTTCGATTCCTCTGAAACATGTATTTCAATACAATCTTTCTAAAGACATGAACCATGAAACCAAAAAGAAGGCTATATGAGAAAATAGGGTCATTTGTATAGTGACAGTATACCTGCTACAGGTTATAACTGAAGTTCGTGCGTAACAAGACGTATTTGCAGGTTACCCTGGATCAAACCAGTGATGACCCCTATTTTTTGGTGTTCATTTTCAAGCATTTTTTCAATCAATTGTAAATATCTTTAAATAATTTAAAATAAACGATCGGAACTATATATGTCCAATGGTTTAACTAATTTTATTGAGTATTGGTGGCTTCTCCGAGCTTGTTTTTGCAGATATATCAGTAGAAGTAGAGAAGTGGTGGTATCTTCTTTATACACTAGGTTTGTTCTGACTGAAAAAAAAAATAAAAAAAAAATAACTTGAACCTAACCCTAAGAATTATTTAAAGCTTGTTTCATTGATAAAAACCACTTCAATTTCATTTGTGTGTAATTGAAAGTCACATTGGAAATGGAAATCTCAATGAACTTTTGAGTTGCAATTTCAAAACTTGAGTTTTGAAAGTCATCGTCATTTTTACAAGTAGATTTATTTTCAAAAAAAAAAATTAATCAAAAAAATCCATTTCATTTATTCAAAAGATGATACTTTACAAGTTTCTTGTAAAAAAAATTGACCAGTGTAAATTTATTGATTTAAATCTTGTAAAACAAAAGATGTTTTCGCTAAATTGAACTTTGGAAAAAGTCAAATCAAATAAGCAATTCTCCCAAAATATTTTTCTTTTTTTTGCCATCAACACCGTCAATTTTTTAAAAGTATCATTCAATATTATAGTTGTTGTTTTCATCATATTCACTAGCTATTCAGTATCACCAGTTTCCTTATCATATAATCATTTTCTCTTCATTAATTTTATCACCGTTAGTTTCATCATCATTAAATTTTGATCATCTTCTAATCTAACTATTGAACAGATACTAAGAGCACATCCGCAAAATTCACAATTGGTACGTGCACCGCAATCATTTGAAAACCAGTGAACTAACATCTTAAGTCTAATCCTAAAAATCCATGTAAAACATCAGCTATCGTCACTGACAATCACATCGTTACTCTTATAAAAAAAAATGAATACAAAGCCGTTAACTAGAAACTCCACGCACAGACTGCCCCCCTCGTCTAATAAGTGCGTGCGGAGAGGAGACTCGCTAGTCATTATTTTTCTTTCACCATGGCTACTGCTGAGAGTCTACGGGAGCCACACTCTCTCCGAAACAAAAATCTTGGAGAGATGAAAAAAAATAATTTTTAATCGACAATTAGTTGTCATAACAAGGTTATACGCTACAGGTCGACTTGTCGGCCTGGTTTTGCTTGGGCGTATATTCTTTTGGCCTATCTGTTTTCTTAGGGGATTGGGTCTTGCCCCTTTGGTTACCACCAAACAAACAAACATTATTATGATTATTCGTGGGAACTTGGTTGAAAAAAATGTTACTTATTATTGAAAAACTTGATCTATGATTATTTATTCATTTGTGGAACCTTGGTTGGAAAACTTATTTTATTTTACGTTTCTTAAATCTAAATTTTTTATTATACTTTTAAACTCTTGCGATCTGCAACTTCGCTTTGACATAGCTTTGTTCAACAGCTTAAATTATTCAATTTTGACATTTCTAGTATCTTCAGCATCTTATTGATACTTTAAAACACACATTCTACATTATTCAGCACCATTTTAATATCCAATACATTTTTTTATATTCTCCTATTCTCTGGTTTTAGTTTAGATCATATAGTTTATAACCCTTTGTTGTGGTTCCTCCGCATGCCATGGAAGCTAGCTGCCTTTGCTTCAGACCCATTAGAAGCTTAGGCGTCCGTTAGTGGAATTGGACTTTTTGCGGAAGAGGGTGCCTCTCCAGGTGCAAATGACAACTACACAATTGGGGCGGAAATTTTTGGATATCTTGTCAGATAAGTTCCATTTTTCCATGGGAAGTAACCTGAGCAAGCGTCCACGTCGTGCTTCCTGGGATTTCTGGCGGCTACTAAAGCCTAACCAGAAATGCAAAATTTGCTCTAAAATATGTAAAATCTATATATAAGAAACAAGATAGAAATTTAATTGAAACTCAATTGTGGCTATAATAAAAACCCTTGGATTTGAGGCCTGAACCTATAAAGATCGATTATATTATAAAGGTCCTAATGAATGGCCGAATTGTAAATTTTCTTGTTAAACAATGTCATGTTTTGAATATAAAAATGAAGAGTTTTAAGTAAATTTACTGCATTTTCAATTTAATAATATGATACAGTTATTGTCTGGAGGTTCATAGTACCAAAAGGGAAACTTTTATAAATAGGTGGGAGAGCCGTTAAAGATGCGTTCAAATTATCTTTGGGACGAAACTTGAATTGATAGTGGTGGAGTGTTTATTTGAATTTTCTTGGAGCTGGTAATCACCAAAAGTTTAATATATAATAGTTAAATAGCTTTCCTAAGAAATATATTTTGGACGGGTCTTGAACCACTAAGAAAATCATATTCACTTAATATAAAAATCAACTTTTAGAATCAACAGCGTCAGATAAAAAAAACTGGCATCAAATGTTTGAAAAATTTACTAAGATATAAAATTAGTATTTGCTTGTATTTTTTTTTTTAAAAATATATGTATAATATCAATATTGACATTGATTTTTGTTTTCCCAAAGTCTTGTTTAGGATACCCCTTTTCAACAGGAGCTTTCTTTTGTTCTTAAAAGTTTTCCAAAAATAAAAAAAAAATAATTTCTTAAAATAAAAACTTAGAAACATTATTTTTGCTTTAAAAAATGAATTGTTTGTTTGTTTTTATTCAAGGGTTATAAAATTATATAACATCAGCATCTGCGCTATCCTTCTTGTCCATACTATATATCTTTTCATTTTAATAATAAACTTTTAATTTTGGCTTCAACATTGCATCTCCAACAGCCCGAAAATAAGTCCTGATGCCAGCTTACGAGGAACAGGGGGTTAAAAATAACCAAACCTTCCCAACTTATCTCCACTTGTCTTCATCAACGCTGTAATTGTATTTCTTAATCCCTCCAAGCAGAGATAAAGCTTACAATCTCTTGTAAGCCAGTTAAACTGTTTAAGAGAGTCGACATGTCCATCTCTGGAGATATCCGTTTCAGTCCTTTTCTTTCCTCTTCAAGCAAAGGACACTCAACTAAAATGTGATGAACTGTTTCCAGCTCTCCACATTGGCAGTTGTAACTATCCTTTTCAATTCCAAACTTTTTAAACCATGCGCCAAAGTTGCCATGGCCTGTGCGAAACTGAGTAATATTACTCAAGATCCTTCGACTATCTTTCTTCATGATCACTCCCGTAACCATTTTAGAAAGATTATCAGTACATTTCGACTCCACTGTGATATTATGATACCACAGATCCTTACTGCTGTTCCAATACATTTCCTGCCATTCTTCCATTGCTTGTTTCTTCAAAATTCCAATCGTCTGATTCTGTTGTTGTTTCAGTGTAAGAGGTTCAACCCTCTTGCATTTTCGTTTTTCATCCTTTTTAATCATGTAGTCTCTATCATCTTTCGCCAATATATAAAGCGTTGTTAGCTTTGCAATTGGAGATTTCTCAATCAATGTTAACAAATGACCATTAATAGGATTAGTTTTGCTAATATTTAGGTGTAAACGAATAGAAAATGTATTTTTGTTTGTTTGTTTGTTTTTATTCAAGGGTTATAGAACTATATAACATCAGCATCTGCGCTATCCTTTTATTGTCTGACTATGTGACTTGCCGGTTTTCATTTGTACCTTTTTAGTACTGGTGGTTTCTGTTCTGTGCGTCTCCGGTAGCCCGGAAGATGGGCCCTGATGCCAGCTTACGAGGAACAGGGAGAACCAGTCTGTCGGTCCCAAAACCTTCCCAACCCATTTCCACTTATCTTCACGGACGCCCATGTATTTCTTAATCTCTTCCGTCAGAGATACGGCCCGCAATCACCTGCAGGCTATTTAGACTGTACGGAAGAGTCGGCATTCCTGTAACCAGGGTAGCCTATGGTTTTCAGTCTAGGTGTATACTCCCGTACACATCCTCAGGAAAAGGGGGTATTCTGGGAATCGAACCCAGTATCTTCCGCTATCGAGCGAACGTGTTACCCTTTACACCATCCAGCCCTTTCCCAGAAAATGTATTTTTAATAATTTTTTTTGTTTATTTTTAACTTCATTTCATTTTAGAATGTTGTATAGGATTTTTTTAATATAAAACTGGCTCGATGGTTTAGTGGTATAATTCTCGCTTAGGGTTAATCTAAGCAATCTGCGAGAGGTCCCGGGTTCAATTCCCGGTTGAGCCCACACTTTTTAATATCAATATTATATTTTTATTTCAATAATTTAGGGGTTTAGCACATTTGTTTTACTTTTTGTACAATGCAAATAACAATAAAATCTATATTGACCTATGGTAAAAAAAAACGCATTTTTTTGTGATTATTTAGGATAAAATAGTGGATCGTCTGCAAGTGCCTGCTGACTTATTTTATTTTCCTCCGCCATGCGTTCGTAGTCAAGTGCGGTAAGAATATTACGTTTAATGACCTCGGTCCTTGGCTTCACCTTCTTTTTCTGATCTGACCGGTGTCTTGGCCGATTATGGTACTCTTCTTCTTCAGTACCAGCAACGGCAGCAGCTTCGGGGTGCTGTCGTAAACTACTTGGTGTGGTGCTCCATAGATTTTCAAACTCAATGAACTTACCAAACGATGAGTAATCAATTTCCCAAATGTGTTCCTTGTGCTTTTTACATCGGTCACGATCCTCATTCATTCGGTGCTGGAACTCCTCAGGCCGCATCGCCGAAGCTATGAGAGTCAGCGTTGCGTACTCTTTCGGTATATCTTCACGGTCTCCAGATTCAGAAGTAAGCCTTTTGGGATCTTTGGTCTCAGGCTTCTTTTCAACTTCTGTTTTTTCATTCTTGGGCTTCGTTTCCTTTCTATCTTCAACAGCAGGGTTTTCATCAATGACTTGCGTTTGACTAAAAGCTTTTGAGAAAGATTCTTCTGTACTTTGTTGTGTTTCTTTTCCCAAATCTAGTGGTTCTTTTGTATCTCTTAATGTCGATGAAGACTTGGCGGCAGTTTTATTTTCAGTTTTAAAAATTACTTGTTCTTCAGTTTTTACCAGTGCCTTGTCCCCAGTTTTTATGAGAATATTTTCTTCCGTTTTGACCATTGAACTACCGACAGGGTTTGTAGTCTCTCTAATCAGTTCTTCATTTTCATTTTCATTTTCTTCTCGCTGCTTTTTCCTGGCCACATCCTGGTTTATTGCTTGTCGTGCATGGTGGCTAGCAAATGCTGGGTCTTGATCTTGATCTTGATCTTGATCTTGATCATGGCATTGATCTTCAACCTCTTCTTTGAACTTTCTTTTTTCCCCTGAATAAACAGCTTTTGAAACTTCCTCTTCTTTATTTTCTTTAAGCTTAGCGTTCAAACCATCGGCACTGTGAAAATGTCAGATAACAAAATAGAAAACAAAAATTGGCACACTTACATAGTTTTGTCCTTTGTCAGTAAAAGTTCCCTGAATTCGTCATACTGGAAATCGGTTAGCACTCTGCGACGTTTATAGTATGCGAGAAGGCGTCTGACATTGTCGGTAAAGCGAGTCAAAACACTTAAGGAAGTTGTAGCATCAGAATCAGGGGACAAAGAGGTTGTTTCTAGGATCTTTATATAAAACTTAGGAAAATCGCGTTTTGTCCACAGATGATAAGTAACGTTTTTCTCATTGGCTTGTTTTTCAGATTCCAGGGCCAGCCTCAGAAGGAAATCCAAGCACGCAACCTTGTGTTGTGTTCCACCAGGTTTGTCGATCTCAGGAGATATACACTGGTAAAGATCCTTTTCAAGCGAACTGTTGTCTAGCAAAAAATTAACAGCAGCTGTTGGTGTTGCAATATGCTTTCCTATAGTGAGATTGCTGAGAATAGAAATGAATTCTTTTTTAATGTCTGCCATTGATTTATAGGTGTATGTTGAAGGGTTGAGTAGTGAAATTATATTCTGGAGGTTGAGGACTTCAAAATGTAAAAATAAATATGACTAATGATGACAAACAAATAACACAATACAGCCTTGAAACCTAGTTGTTTTTTTGTACATGTGAAATGAAAAATACAATGGGGTTAGGGTATCTAATGGTTTATGCCCACAAATTAAAAACTTAACGGTTAAAAACGGTCAACAAAATTTCAAATCTAAACAAGCGTATCTAAGTTTTAAATTCATCAATAAATATGTGAATTTGAAGATTAATTAAATTTCTTTAATACATACCTAAAAAACCTTTAATTATTTTTTAAAATGAAGTACGATAACATTATACTTGTGGTATAGGAGGTTTGGGGAAAGGAAACAGTTCACTTGACCTTATTTTTTTTTACAAAAAAGAAAGAATCTACTGACAATTAATGTTTGCATTTTCATCTTTTTTTTAATTCCATTGAGTTTGAACTATCATGCTTCATCAGTCGCAACATATTCTTTTAATATATAAAAAAGAACACCTAAAAATATATTTGCTTTAAACCAATTTTTTATTCTTTTATTGCTTTCTTTCTCTTTATTTTTTCAATTTTTTTTTCTTTAAATAAACATGCCCAGTTATATTGAGAAAACCTCAATGGATAAGGAAATATTACTTTCATCAAAAAATACTACAGATAAAACACCTCCAGAAATTTCAAATTTACTACAACTACAAATTTCTTTTCCTTTCGAACATAGTGCTGATGAAACTGCTATAACTCCAAGTTCATCTGAAGGGGAACCTTCTCAATTATACGATATTTTAGATAAAGACAGTGATTTTTTGGAATTTTCAGACATCGAAGAGTATATTGTTGGGTTTGATGATGATATAGCCAACAAGACTCATGAAATTTTAATAGGGAATGCCAGAACTCATTTTTCACAAACAGACGAGCTCAACAATTTGTGCAATAAGGGCCTGGTTCTACACAAGGGTACAAACGATATTACACAATATGGCCTCAAAGCTCCACAGTCAAAAAAGCATACACACAAGAAAAAAAAACCAACATTAAAGCTATCTCAAAAAACCCGGGCCACTAAAAGAATAGAATTAGATTTGGAAGATGTGTGCAACCAAGTTCAAGATATTTCAGTGCAAATTCTTATTAGTGGAATTTTATCAGGAAGCACAACACCTGGCTAAGGATTCAACAAACATACCGTTTATAAAGTAAACTTCTTTATAAATACATAATAATTATTGTAAATTTATATCAAATTTATAAAAAACTAAAAAATAATATAATGACCAACTTTTTTACTTGATTTTTTTTAGAATCAATTTTATATTGTACCAAAGACTATCCAATTTCTTTTTTGTCGTTGTTTTGCACTGTTTGCAAGTCGATGATAACTACCTAGCCTTTAATTTACGCTACTTACAGTAGTTTTGAACATGGAGTTGTTATCTCTGAATGATTGAATCATACTACGTCATTATGTGTCATCATTAGTCATAAATGACATTTCTATTACACTTTTGCCCTCCGCTCTCCCATAGAAAAATTCTCCTTCCCTTAGCACCACCACCTTTTTTTTCCTTTTTTTTTTTTTTTTTTTTTTCTCAGCAACACAAGTTCAACACCCAGAACTTTATACCATTTCATAGCATCGTTACCATGGCTAAGAACAAGGGAAAAGGTGGCAAGAATCGCCGTCGTGGAAAGAACGAGTCTGAGGGCTTCAAGCGCGAGCTTGTTCTCAAGGAAGAGGGCCAAGAATATGCCCAAGTCACCAAGATGCTTGGTAACGGCCGTGTCGATGCCAGCTGTTTCGATGGTATCAAGCGTCTGGCACACATCCGCGGTAAGATGCGCAAGAAAGTCTGGATTAACCAGGGTGATATCATTTTGGTATCTCTCCGTGAGTTCCAGGATGAACAGTGTGATGTCATTGTCAAGTACACCCCAGACGAGGCCCGTGCCCTCAAGTCCCAAGGCGAGCTGCCTGAGACTGCCCGTATCAACGAAGGTGATCCTTATGGCCAGGGCTCTGATGACGAGTGCAACTTCGAGTTTGATAACGATGATGATTCCGACGATGATGAGGACGACAAGCTCGACATTGATGACATTTAAACGACCCCATTCCGAGCTAGGAACTTTATTACAGCTTTTTCAGATTCCTTAATGCTATATTTGTTTGCTTTTATGTTTTTTTTTAATGAATTATAAAATATTTTATGAAAACTCTTTTATTTTTTTTTATAAAGATTCCGGTCAATTGACTGGGCATTTAAATGTAGATTCCCCGGGGTCCTGGGGTCGTCTGAGCCTTACCCTGATCTGGTTGGAAATCATGTTTGTGTGGTTTGTTTATTTTTTTTTTAAAATTTATTTTCTTTTATTTTAATTTTAATTTATTTTTTTTCAACACCAACATATCAACGCTTTATTACCATTACCATAACTCATGTCAGGCTTGATCACATTTAATTCTGTTAACAAGCCACGGAGTTCTTTGGTACCGATATCCGTTGATCATGTTACTTCCAACATATCCAATGAGCCATCTTTAGACCCTCAGCCCAAACTATCTTCTAAAGACCAGCCCGCCGTACCATCACGATGGCCTATTTTCTATAGCTGCTACTTGCTCCAATCTTCCAAATCTATACGTTCTTTTTACATTGGATCGACTCCTGACCCAATTAGACGACTGCGTCAACATAATGGTGTTCTTAAATCTGGTGGTGCATACCGCACTCGCTCCGACAAAAAACGTGTTTGGCGTGCTGTTGCCATTGTTTGCGGGTTCCAAAGCAAAGTCGCAGCTTTACAATTTGAACATGCGTGGCAACACCCCGACATCACCCGGCACATAAACTCTGATTCCAATTTGTCGAGAAATCAACTGCAGGACCCAGAGAGTGTCCAGAAGAAAAAGCCCATAAAACCACGTACTCTGGCTGGCCATCTCAATGCTATGAAATCTCTCATGCGAGCACCACTTTTTTCTCATATGCCTCTCGACCTGTACATTTTAGAAAAAAGTAGTTCTGAAGCATGGAAAAAGATCACAAATGATACCAGGAATAATAAAAAGTATAACGAAACAGACGACAAGTTTAATGTCATTTGGGATTTTGACGAATCCAAGTCTATAACAGATTATGCAACATGTGATCCGGAACATTTTGATGATATGCGGCCTATACGAGCCAAAAAGTCAGCATCTAAAGGCCAGTCTGCTGAAGAAACCATTTCTAACGAAAGCAATCCAATTATTCTTGACGGAGATGAGCTTGGAGAAGAAAGTGAGGGAGATGAAAATAGCTACGATGGACTAAAACAAATACCCATTTTAGGTGGCCCAAAACGTTGCTTGTTAAAAAGATTACGTTCAGAGCATACCCGAGAGTCCCAGCTAGTTCACGATGTGCTGCGCAAACTCAATCTTGAAAAAAAAACACAGCTGGAGCAAGAATTGGAGTTTGAAATTTCAAAAGGTAAACAGACTATTTTTAACGACGAGGATTATAATAACGATGACGAGGATGGATTTGGATATGGCCTATACGGTAGTCAAGACTACATTGTCGGTGCGCCCAATCATCAAATCACCAGAGTTAACAACGATAATAATTCCACTCGTATGTGCCGTCTTTCTCTCAAACCTATTCATCTTTGCCAAGATCTTATGGCAGTATGCACAGTGTGTGGCTCGACTATACATCTCACTGAATTAGCAAAGTATGCACTTAAAGTTGGACCCTATGCAAATGGAAAGCAGAGAGAAACAGGCTTAATTCCAGTATTACCAAGGACGTTCCTTTGTCCGTTTTGTAGTGACGAAATGTATTGGAGAGATGTTTCTCGGCTGGCTTACCTTCTCCAACAACACTTTTTGACTGACCCTGAGAATTATGGCAAGAAAAACTAAAATGTTTCTCATGGGCCTAATGTGAAGCTTTCTTTATGATGCCCTATCGGGTGTCTGTGGCGATATTTTGGTTCTTTATTTTTTTTTTTTTGTTTGGTCTTCACCAACAACAACAACAACAAAAAAAGACCAGCACACCTTTTAATTAGATCAGACCTAACCCACCAGATTTCGCAACAATTTAAACAACTTGATTTTTTCTAAGGCTTTGTGATTTTTCCATTCACGCAACATGTCTGACGACTTTTCTGATCATCCTAATGCCAAACGTATAGTTATCATATCTGGTGGTACTGCCTCCAACTCTTTGGTATCCACCTTTTCTTCTCTTTCTCCTCATATCTCTTATCTTCTCCCAATTTCAGATAACGGTGGATCGACTTCTGAGTTGATTCGCGTTGTAGGGGGCCCCGCAATTGGAGATTTACGTTCTCGAATTACCCGTTTGATTCCTGAAAAATCTACAGCCCTCCGATCATTACTCTCTTATCGCCTACCTGAGGACTCTTTGGGCGCAAAATCCGAGTGGACAGCCATTGTCGAAGGCACACATCCACTGTGGTTTCATGTTCAGTCACAGTTTAAAGAGCTGATAAGGCCATTTTTTATACACGTTCATGTGGAGCTTCTTAAAAGATCGCGGCCCGGTCGTGAGTTTCGGTTTGAAAAAGCAAACGTTGGAAATCTTTTTTTAACTGGAGCTAGACTCTTTTGCGGTTCTTTAGATTCTGCTATTGAACTTTTTTTGCGAATAACACTAGTTCCAAGCACTATAGCTGTTCTTCCAGCTCTCAATACAAATTTCAGTCATCACATTTCGGCACAACTCCAAAACGGTGAAATAATCACTGGCCAAAGTCAAATCTCTCATCCATCGGCAAACCACTTGACACCGGTGAAGGATGTCCCTTATGCACACATTGTCAAGCAAAATGCAGAAAATAACCATCCACTTTCCTTTTCATTAACTTCTTCAGCTGGCACTCCGATAAGCTCCTCTAGCTCTCCACCATATGGTTCCAGCGATGCGATAAGTACTTCCGATTTCCCAGATGAGAGTGAGAGCTCTCCTGGTCTAACAATAACATTGCCACCAAGGTTCACTTACAATACCATTGACACTACCAATAACAACGAATCCAGCTCCCAGCCATCTCCTGACCATGACCAAGAAGATGCACACTTACCATTTAGCCATCCTGATTTAAAAATTTCTCAATTACATTTCCATAAAGATGAAAATATTCCACTAGCATCACCTATCCGCAGAATATTTTACATTAATCCATATGGTCAAGAAATTCATCCACGTGCTAGCAGCAGAGTCATTAGAACGTTGGAGGAAGCTGATGTTATAATATATTCTATTGGAAGCTTGTTTACATCGACAATTCCGGTGGTTATTTTACAAGGCTTTGCTAGTTCTATCCAAGATAATGCACACTTGAAAAAGAAAAAGATACTACTACTCAATGGATCTAAGGATAGAGAAACGGATTCATTAGATGCTTTGGATTTTGTCCGGGCACTAGTTGGAGCCTGCTTATATAGCGAACTTGGCGGTAAAAGTAGCATTTATAACCATTTCAATTACAGTGGTAGTAGCATTGCTTTAAATCACATGTCGAAACAGCAACAAATTAAACATCATCAGACACAAGCACCATCACGGGATTTCTCAGCATCGAACTATACAACAACATCTTCCCATGCTCAAGACATTCTAATGAGACCAACACCTAGACTCACTAAGGCATATAATCCTTCTGGTACTTCTAATCTTATGCTTGGACCGGATTATGACAATAATCATAGTCTGGGTGTGTCAAATTCTTATCATAGCATCAACAACAGTAGTACTAATCTAATGTATGCTTCAGATCAAGATATTGACGATGTTTACAATTCAGAAAAAATTGACAAAGCAACCTGGTCCAAATATATTACCCATATTGTTTATCTTGAAAGCTCGCAATTTTGTCCCAGTGCTGCAGCTTTAAAAGTTTTTCAATCAAAGGGAATTAAATGTTATGCTTTACAGCCATATTCAAAAGATAATTCTAATTACAAGTATAGTTCTGATTCTCTTAAAGGGTTGCTTACAGTTTTGGTCAATGATTAAAAATTTAAATTGTTATTAAATATATCCATAAATTATTATGCTAAAAAAGTTCCCATCTAAAAGTACAATAAAAAAAAGCCCCAAATAATTGCCCAAATCTAACAGGACAGTTGATAAAAAAATCTTTTAAAGCATGATAAACATGCTCACCAAACCCATTATGAATGCTGTGGAGATGAAAGGCTTGAGAGTCTTCGGACTAGCGTTGACTTGTTGGTCTCTGTTGTATAGGTAGTATTCAGGGTATTCGATTTGGTTTTGAAGAGCACGCTTCATACGATTGAAGGTGGAGGGGATTCGTGATGAGTTTGAATATGAATTTGTCGTCTGAATCGAAGCTGATGAAGTTGTGGATTGTGTGGTAGAAGACTCAATAGAGCCGGAAGTTGTAGATGAGCCAGTACCAGAACTTGTAGTAGATGTAGGACTGGAGCTCGAAGTGGAAGTTGCAGAACCAGTAACAGAGCCAGTAGAAGTGCCAGTGGTTGAAGAAGAAGTAACAGTAGCGGATCCAGTAATAGATTGAGAACCAGTACCAGTACCAGTACCAGTACCAGTACCAGTTGAAGTGCCAGTGCCAGTAGTAGTGCTTGAAGCCTTGCGGATAATTATAACGGTGGTGCAAGGCTCAGTGACAGTGACAGTTCTAGTACCCTGAACAGAAGTTCTGGTGGTTACACCAGTGTTCGTAGAAGTTTGAGTGACGCAAACAGTACAGTGTTCAGTTTGGGTAATAGTGGTAATGGTTCCAGAACCGGATGAAAATGAACCAGAACCGGTAGTAGTAGTAGTAGTAGCAGATGTTTGAGAAATACTATTGGAGGTAGGAGTAACACTAGAAGATTCTTTTCTAACAACATAGACAGTAGTACAAGGTTCAGTGACAGTGACAGTTCTAGTACCCTGAACAGAAGTTCTGGTGGTTACACCAGTGTTCGTAGAAGTTTGAGTGACGCAAACAGTACAGTGTTCAGTTTGGGTAATAGTGGTAATGGTTCCAGAACCGGATGAAAATGAACCAGAACCGGTAGTAGTAGTAGTAGTAGCAGATGTTTGAGAAATACTATTGGAGGTAGGAGTAGCACTAGAAGATTCCTTTCTAACAACATAGACAGTAGTACAAGGTTCAGTGACAGTGACAGTTCTAGTACCCTGAACAGAAGTTCTGGTTGTCACACCAGTGCTCGTTGAAGTTTGAGTTACGCAAACAGTACAGTGTTCAGTTTGGGTAATGGTGGTGATTTGAGGACTTGCTGCTGGAGTATTGGTAGTAGAGGCAGGAACATTGGTAGTGGAAGCTTGAGGAGTTTCGCTTGTAGATTCTTTTCTAACAACGTAGACAGTCTCGCAAGGCTCAGTCACAGTTACTGTAATGGTTCCTTGAACAGTAGTTCTAGTGGTAACACCAGTGCTAGTTGAGGTTTTGGTAACACAAACAGTGCATGGCTCAGTGCGAGTGAGAGTAGTAGTAATAGATGGCTGAACTGTAGCAGTAGGTTGGGCTTGGGTAGCACCAGACTCCTTCTGAATAACAAAAACAGTAGTACCAGGAATTGTGATAGTAACAGTTCTACCACCTTGAACAGATGTTGTAGTAAGAGCACCAGTAGCAGTAGAGGTTTGATAAACACAGTTGTTACATTGGCTTGTCTGAGTCACAGTGGTAACAGTGGGTTGGGGAGCAGCACCAGTTTCCTTAACAATGACATACACAGTAGTTCCTGGAATAGTGACGGTAACAGTTTTACCACCTTGGACAGAAGTAGTGGTGATGGCCCCAGTGACAGTTGAAGTCTGAGTGACACAGTTGTTGCACTGACTAGTCTGAGTCAAGGTAGTAATGGTTGGTTGAGCAGTCGCAGTTGGAGATTCCTTCTGAATGACAAAAACCGTGGTGCCAGGCTGAGTGACTGTGACAGTTCTAGTTCCCTGGACAGAGGTAGTAGTAATGACTCCAGTAGAGGTAGAGGTTTGATAGATACACTTAGTGCACTGAGCGGTTTGAGTGATAGTCGTGAGAGTAGGTTGAGCGGAAGCAGTGCCTGTCTCCTTAACAACGACATACACAGTAGTTCCTGGAATAGTGACAGTGACAGTTTTACCACCTTGGACAGAAGTAGTGGTGATGGCCCCAGTGACAGTTGAAGTCTGAGTGACACAGTTGTTGCACTGACTAGTCTGAGTCAAGGTAGTAATGGTTGGTTGAGCAGTCGCAGTTGGAGATTCCTTTTGAATGACAAAAACCGTGGTACCAGGCTGAGTGACTGTGACAGTTTTAGTACCTTGGACAGAAGTACTAGTAACGGCACCGGTAGCTGTCGAAGTCACGTAAATGCACTTGTTACATTTCTCAGTGCTGGTAATGGTTGTGACTGTCGGCTGAGCAGGAGCAGCACCAGTTTCCTTAACAATGACATACACAGTAGTTCCTGGAATAGTGACGGTAACAGTTTTACCACCTTGGACAGAAGTAGTGGTGATGACCCCAGTGGCAGTTGAAGTCTGAGTGACACAGTTGTTACACTGGCTAGTCTGAGTCAAGGTAGTAATGGTTGGTTGAGCAGTCGCAGTTGGAGATTCCTTCTGAATGACAAAAACTGTGGTGCCAGGCTGAGTGACTGTGACAGTTCTAGTTCCCTGGACAGAGGTAGTAGTAATGACTCCAGTAGAGGTAGAGGTTTGATAGATACACTTAGTGCACTGAGCGGTTTGAGTGATAGTTGTGAGAGTGGGTTGAGCCTGCGCGGTTGGAGACTCCTTTTGAGCGACTACCACAACAACACCGGGCTGAGTGACAGTGACAGTCTTGGTCCCCTGAATAGAAGTTTTTGTGATAACTCCGGAGCTGGTAGAGGTTTCAGTGACGCAAACTTTGCATTGTTGCTTTTGAGTAACAGTGATGGTTTGAAGTCCAGTATTAGTGGGGGCTACTTGGTTACCGCCATTAGTGGTAATGGTGGTATTACTTCCTCCTCCAGTGAGAGTTGTATTACTTGGAGCTTCTACAGAGTGAATGATTCTCTTGTTACCGCTAGAATCGGTGATGGTTGATGTATAAGTCTTGCAAACATTGCAATTAGTGATGATAGTAGCGCCTGTTGTGATTGTTGGAATGGCAGATTCTAAAATAGTAATTAGTATAAATAATCAATGAATCAAAAATTGAAAAACTTACGAGTTCCAGTTCCAGATGAGCCAGTAACAGAACCTGTAGACCGAGTTGAAGTGGACCCAGTACTAGTACCAGTAGTAGAGCCAGAAGTTGATCCCGTACTAGTTGTAGAGCTTCTTTGAGTGGGCAAACCAGTAGTGCTCCCCGATCCAGAGCTTGTTGAAGGATTACCACTAGAAGAGCTTGATCCCGAAGTAGATGTTCCACTAGATGAACCAGTTCCTGTTATTCCACTTGACGTGATTGAACCAGAAGAAAAACCAGATGTAACTGTCGAAGAGGTGACTGTTCCTGATGTGAGACTAGAAGAGCCTGTGCGTGTTGAGGACCTGGTACCAGTTGCGGAATTCGACGAACTGCCTAACGTAATACTGGTGGAACTGGTACCTGATTGCGAGCCGGTGCCAGAAGTCGTTGTTGTATCAGTGGGATTAGGTAAAACTGAGGAGGTGCCAGAGGAAGTTGTACTAGATGGCAATATTGTTGAAGAAGTATTTTGAAATACCGGAGGTGCTAATACGCTATCACTTCTTCTCATGAGATTTGGAAAGGCAAGGGCATTGGTCGCCAGCAAGGCTGTGATTATTGTGAATTTCATGATATAAAAAATGTAAGAGCACAATCAATTGACCACTTATTGATTAGAAAACTGATTAATTGAAACGAGAGGATAATAAAAAATAAACGAGAGGAAAAAAAAGAAAAGCTAAGAGTTTTTCTATTCAAAAAAAAAAAATATAAAGTATATGAATAATATGAGAATGCAGTAAATAGATGATGATGAAAAGAGAAGAAAAAAAAACTAAAACAAGGATATCAGAAATTGAAGAAGTATTTATACGTTTTTTTTATTTCAAGCTATATATGTAAATAATTTTAAAAAGTCGAAATAATTATTCAATTGATAAATGAAAGTTATTGTTTGAAGATAGTTTTTAAATATTTTTAAAAGAAATAAAAAAGAGCAAACATTTTATTAAGAAATCGAAAAAGTTAATTATTTGGGGTAATAGATTTCTTTTTTTATTTCTTTTTTTTATTTTTATTTTTATTTTATTTTATATTTATTTTTTTATTTTTCATTTATTCCATAGGATTTACACCTTCCAAAGCTTATTATCTTTTGCAAATGTACCATAACTTTTTCAAAATATTTTACTAGAGAATAACAATTTTTGGTTATTTATATCTGAACTTTAAAGATATGCTGGTTTTATTTTTACACTAAAAAAATCACATAAAAATAGTAAAAAAAATTATTGTACATTGGTGGGAAAAAAGCTGTTGTTGGCGGTCTTTAAAAAATATAAACAAATCGCCGTGCATACAGTAAAATACATTCACCATTCATATTAAAGAAATACTTTTAAAACACTTTAATCCGGCCAGTTTATGGTTGAACTTTGAAATAGTTCGCTACTGCTAATTTGTAAAACATCTTTTTTTACAAAAAAACCTATGGAAGTTTTTGATTCAGAAGCTTGATAGGCCAAAAAAATAAAAATAATCGCTTCGAGCAGGTTTCAAGACATTGTGATTACAACAATTTAAAAGCTATTACGGAAACTGGTGGCTAGTGATTTAAAAGGAAGATTTTTTTAACGATCGAAAAGTAATGAAGCCACGGGGAGTCTAATAATAATTGGGCTCTGAATTACAATGTGTGGACCATACATATTTTTTTTTTCAAAAAAAAAAAAAAAAAAAAAAAATTATAAATTAATTTAAACTAGCTTATGAATCATGCATATACAATGAGTTTTGCTTCTTCAAAATCTAGGAAATAGTAAAAATAGAATTGATAATTGAAAAAGGCCCTGAGCAGCTCAAGCAAAACTTTTTTTCTCTGATAAACATTTTTAGGGCGGCTAGACAGTTAAAAGTCCTTTTAATTATCCGCATAGCTTTTAATTATCTATAAATTTCCTAAAAAAGAAAAAATAACCGACGGCATTCTGCTGTTTTTTTTTAAGCAGCCCATGTGGTTTATGCAAGGGTCAAGCCGCATAGTGCCTAAGCTTAAATTTTCTCGAACTGGATTCTTATTTTCAATTGTTTTTTATAAGATGCAAAAAAAAAAAAAGAATTAACAAGCTGGTATATTTGTGACTTTTCGTTCCACAAGTTGGGAAAATTTGCATAATATAGAATCTATGGTAAATCAATAGTTCTTATTTTTAACAGCAAAATATATCCTTGAATAATCTAGGTCTTAATTTTTATATTGTTGGGTTATAAATAAACTGTTCTAAGTGTTAGTCAAACCAAAATTTTACTACTATATTGTACTGTTGAACGTTATATTGCTAAGGAAACCAAGCAAGCCTTAGAAAATCAGATGAGATACAGTAATAATAATAATATTATTATGTTTCTCTAAAAAAAGGCGATTTCACTTACAACATGAGCTTGGAATCCCATCAATTAGGTCGAATAATTTTAAGTATCACTATACATGTATTATTAGAAGCATCTGCGTTCGAGGGGCTGGCTGGTTTTGTGAGAATTTCATTTACTGATGTACATCTAGTTTTAGATGGAACTTTTGCTGCTCCCTAGTGAAGCATTACGCTCTTTCATTATTATCACGATAAAAAAAAACCTTCAATCAAATTGAATCTAAAAGTTCCTAATATTGTTGTTACTTTCTCCCCCCCTCCTTCCCTGATACCCCCTTATTCGTTCTGAAATGGCAATATGATAACCACAGTGACACTCTTTCAAAAAAAAAAAAAAAAAAAAAAAAAAAAAAAAACTAGCTTTAGGGGGTCAAACCTTATTGTTAAAAATGCCTTAAGGTCGCAATCTAGGTTTTTTTCATACGGTAATGGTGATTCAATCCAATTCGTAGCAGCTTGTATTGAAAAGTATCTGGGGAATATTAATAAGAAATCAAAAGACTTTTCGTGCTGACATTTAACTATTCGTATTTCAAATGAAACAAAAATAGCTCTGGAAATTTTTTTTTTCATTCTCAATTTTCTTAAAATTATTATGAAGGCTTTCTAAAAATCTTCTAAGCATGGAAAAATATATATTATTTCTTCATAAGTTACTTGCAATAATTATTATCAACATTATTAATTAATGATATCATTATAATGATAGCTATCTGCCTCCAGGCGGAATAATTTGTAGCTAAATTTGGAAACTAATTATTTTCGTCAGCAGAGCATACAGCCAGCCTTTTAAAATAAAAGCTGTAATATAATCACAATTATCAAAGAAGAACCCACCCTCGTCAACTATCGAATTCGATGGATATTCTTTTTTTTTAAATAAAAATAAATTGTATTAATTTTTTTTTTGATTAATATACAACTGAAATTTATAAATAGTTAGTTAAGCTTTGAACTCTTAATTTTTTACTATAATCTGGATTGTCTTAAACTTTTCATTTTACATTTGCCTGGACATTGACTACTCAAATAAAACTATATTCTTTCCTTAAATAAATCACTTTATCATATAATGTCACAATTCAAAATTGAGTCTTTTTTTATTTAAATGGTAATTTAAAAACAAGTTAGTTTTTGCTTTCCCAAGTCCGTTATATAAATTGATAAAATGATTAAAGTAAATATTAATTGTCTGAAACCAATTTGTTAATTTTTTTAATAGTGGTTCTTTTTTGAAATTCTATAGAAAGAATATTTATTTATAAATAAAGCCATCATACTTAATTTTGAGTACGCAGATTTCTAAATTTTAAATTTTTTTTAACATCACCAAGCGTGTTTCAAGTAGAAAAAAAAAAAAACCAAAAGTTCAATTAAATATTTTTTATCATTTCAATTGAATAACATCTGGAGACCTTTATAAAGAAACATGTAATTATTGTAAATCCTTTTTTTTTAAAAAAAATAAAAAAAGCAAAAAAGTTTTATTACATTTGATCTCAAGAACTTGAGCATTGTGCTTTTTTCACCACATGTACAGAAATAAAAGGCATACCCGTTTAAACTCATGTTTGTGTTCCTGCACTGAAACTATATAATTGACATAGATATTCAACAACAAGTTATTTATAAAAGCAATTCAAGGTTCATTTGAATAAACAAATTATAATCTAAAAATCAAGAAACTTCTTGTTCATTGACATGAGGTGGAAAGTTGTTCTCTTGAAAAAAAAAAAAAGAAGTTTTACACAAGTTCCATCATTTTTCACATTAATACAGTTCGATCAAGAATTGCAACCAAAAAAAGAACAAAAAAAGAACAAAAAAAGTTTTGGTTAAACATTTAAGTTAAGAAATTTAATTTTTTTTTTTTGCGAAAGGTCTGGTGCCTGAGTTATATTAAAGCGTTAATTTGTGTAAGATCTACTGCAGAAAAAATAAAAATTAAGCTCATTCATAGCAAGACATAGTTGAGTTGAACCCTCCCAAAAAAGACACCTTGGGTATTTATAAAAATTAATAAAGTGGGAAATAATATAGTGGAAAAGAGGGGCCCAAAAACATGAAAACCGTTTTCTCTGGTTTTTTAAATCGCTAGAGAAAAAAATCTCGTTAATTGAGATTTTTAATAGTCTCACCATCATCCGGTTTGAAACGAAATTTGAATCAAAATTGAATCTATACTGAGGGGTTTTCATTCAGTTTGAAATTAAGACAAAACTAGTTTTGTTGATGAGCTGTTATTTATTCATAGAAAGAGGAACTCATCAATTTTTTAAAATAACCAATCTGCGGGAATCAAATCATATTAAAATTTCTCTTAAGATGGTATTACAGGGAAAGCACTTTTGTAAAAAAAGAAATGAATTAATTGCAATCGCCTAAGAATGTATGTCTAAGTATATAATAAGAACCATATCCTTAGAAAGTTAAACTAAAGTATTAAGCAACACTCTACATCCATTCAAGTAATTGTCAGCGACCGTCGTGGTGTATACTAACTTCTCATAACTTTCATCAACCTCTCGGCAAAAAAGCATCTAAATATAAACAAAATTTGTTACCATAGTCAGCAGCTGTAAAACAAACAAACGAAATGACAATTACCAAAATAACTTACCCCATTGCGTTGGTCAATCAAAACATTAATGGTTCCTTCGATAATGTAAATCTTGAGCAGCTCTTCGAGTTTGGAAGGCTCAAGAAGGAATGTTTCTGAAACAGTTTGAATAGAGACGTTTTTGTAAGCGGAGAGGTACTGAAGAAGAGCCCGCTTCTTGATTGCACCTAAAAGATTTTTCAAAATAGGAAATAAAAATGGATCTGCCTCATAATCAGGCTTGAAATCTTCCAAAGAACTAAAAAATTCCTTATACTTGGAGTTTAAAAAGAATTCAATGAGCTCCGAAAGGTTCTGAAGAGAATCCTCAGTTAATGACTGAAATACTTGGTCAGCTGAAGACAAAAATTGCAACTCTGATCGGCTAAAAGATGCAAGAGCAGCAAGGGTAATATAGACAGCAAGATCCTGGGGAGTAGCAATGTCATTAAAAATTAATTTGTGTTTTGGAGATATTTTTAGAAGAACAGAGGCTGCTTCTCGGTATTTTTCTTGTTGTAAAGTTGCGATTCCGCAAAGTACACCAATCTTGACAGCTCCAGGCCAGCTAAGGCTGCCATTTTTGTCCAAAAATAAAGAAGTAAGTTTAGAAGAAAATGCAAGAGAAGATGAGTAATTTTTAGAAGAAAAAAAGTTTACAGTTGCTTCAAAAATAAGAGATTCCACAATTTCTTCATAGTTTTTGGGACTGACTGTGTCTCTAAATTTAATAATATTAACCTTGGCACCATCAAAATCCCCCATTTCGTAAAGTAAAAACGCGAGGTTTTTGAACCCATTCTAAAAAAAAGTTATTAAAAAAAAGAAAGCGAAAAAAAGAACACTTTATTATAATAGGCACATACCGATACAGTGGATGATGCATGATTCCAGTTCCATGAGGTAGCTTCAATTGATTGTGTAAGGGTTTCTCTTTCAGCAATTAGTGTAGCTTCTTTTTCAGCAATCGATTCAGTCCCTTCTGGAACTGCAATTCCTTGATCATGAAGGGCTCTTGCAATTGACTTTAATAGATTAATGTTTTTGGATAAATTTTTGGCATGCTGAAAGGCTAAAGAAAGAGCTTCTATATAGAGCTCTGATGACAATGTGGCAATATGGTTTAAACGTAAAACCTTTCCCTGGCCAGTGTAATGGCTGAATCTTTCGGTGAGATCATAATGAAGAGAACCTATAGTAAGTTAATAAAAAATTTAACAAATAATCAAAAAAAAAATAAAAGTGGGCCTACCTTGGATCGTTGAAATAAAAGGTTTGTTCCAGTTGAATTTTGTGATAGACATGTTTGTTTATGTTTGTGGCAATATCGTAGTGGTTGGCAATTGATGGTAGAAAAGTCAAGGACATGGAGGTTAAGGAAAACTAAGGCCGGGTAACTTGCGGCTTATCACGTATTTCCCAAAGTGGCGACACTAAATGAAAAAAAATCAAAAAAAAAAAATGTAACAGAGTTTTTTAAACAAAATTTTTTATTTTTTATTTTATTTTATTTTTTTTTTTTGATTCAAAAACTATCAGACATAACTTTAAGATCAAACAAACAAAAAAATGCTCTTGTATTCTGGAAGAAAGGCTTTGCTTTCACGTCCAGTCACTCTTGTGGTATTTAGAGCTTACTCTCAGAAAGAATCTTCTCCAAGATTGAAGCAAAATCTTAAACGAGCAGTGGACGGAGACTCTGAAGTTTTTGAAGATGCTAAACCTCGCAGCAGAACTACCCGCGAGCGCAAGGCACGCGCGCAAAAGGCTCAAACTATGATGGACTTTGGGTTTGTGCTGCGACCTTACATGAAGGAGTACTTTTCCAATGTGAACAACTTATTACAATCTACCCCAAACTACTTAGAGGAACGTGAGATTGTTGGTGCCTTTTTGGGACTGTCATCACTCAAACAGTTAGAGAATGGGTATACAGTCGGACAAATTGTCGATAAGAACTTAGAGAAAAAACGTCCAGCTTATGCCATGCATCTTTGCAGAATGGCAAAGACCCAAGGTACAGTTGGCATGAACCGCCTGCTACAATATCTCTGCGATACCGACGACTTTAAGCATGTTTTCAAAGTTTACAACAATCTGAAAAAATGGGGTGTACCCCCCAACGAAAGAACGTATTCGATTTTAACGCATGCAGGTGTGAATGCTGATTGCAGGACCTACAGAACAAACATTAAGATTCTACTTCAAATTTACAAGGATGCCATGGCTAAGGCCACCAGCAACACATCGAAGGCCATTTACACCAACTCGACACTTGTTTCTTTGTGTCGATTTTCCCTTCCACAAAATGCATATGAGTTTTACATGCAGATTCCATCTACGGGCCGGTTCTCAAGAGACGAAATCACTTACTCCACTATGCTCAACTTGGTGGCACGCCAGAAAAACTTTTCTGATTTCCCCGAGTTACAAAACTTGAACAAAATTATCTGGGATGAGGTCAATAGTCGAGTTGCAAAGAAAGAGCTTAAATTTACACCTAGACTAATTGATTCTTACTGCAACAGTCTGTGCAATCGAAACTTTACTAATCCTTATTTCGAGGTGGATGATTTGTATCATAAGCACTTTAATTTTAACGACTCCACGATTTTTGACAAAAAATTCCCATTTACCGAGGTGCAGCTGGATATTCTTTTAAAATCTTGTTTATACTCACGGAAGTATGAACAGGCTGTGGAGATTTATCACTCTTTGAACAACATGCCTAATGTCTACCTAGATCTCTCTTGTGTACACAATTTTTTGCGAAACTTTGCCTTTGTTCCTATGCTGGATTTCCAGGTTCCCCGGACCCTTTTGGATAGAATGGTTAAGTGTGGTCGATCCAAAGGAGGAAAAATGAAACTGACCTCTTTAAGCATTAAGTTGTTTTGGCGCGCGTTCCAGCAGTCAAACTCGTTTGATATTAACGTTGTGGATGAAATGCGGGACAAAGTTATACCCGATTTTCATATTCCAGTGGACGATCACATTATTAGCGAGTACGCATCATTATATGCCCATGCTGCTTTAAGCAATAACCCTCCTTCTTCTCAGCAGCTCTTATATGCATGCAAATTCCTTCATGACAACATTAGCATTATTTCCAACGTTTCCAAAACACAACCGAACCCTTTGCGCATTGATCGGGGGTTGAGTAAAGGTATTATTATGTGCCGCTGTGCTTTAGATGACCAAGCAAATTATGAAGCGCTAAAAAATGGCGATCTTAAGTGGCTGGTTGAGCTTTGCGAGAAACTCAAGGGCCTTCAAATCCAGTTGAAAGAAACATTTAAAGATAATCCAGTTTTCAAGTCAGCGTTGGAAAATAAAAAATCAAATGAATCAATGATTTTTCATGAGAAACAAAAAGAGATGTTGCGCCGGTACCGCAAAGTCATTCAAAACCATGAGATCCACATTGCAAAGTCTTCCATGAAGAACTTAAAAAGTGTTTTGAAAAATCATGCGATGCGGACAGTTGCTCCGAATTCAAATGAGCTGAAGGAACACGAAGTTCTCGAGGTATCATAGTTAGATATGGGACCACAATTTTTTTGTAAATAGTATTTAAACAGTGCTATTGATAGTCATGATGAACCTGCAAGTATGAAGAGTTGCTTATTTAGCACAAACTCTTTTTTCATAATGCCCAGTAAAAAAAAAAGAAAAAAAACCCCCCCGTGCCCCCGTCTTAGTTTGTTTAAATTATCAAACAAAAAAATTATACGAAATGTATTGCCACCGTAGATCTTCAAAATGGTTTTGGCCTTGCACGGAACCGATTTTTTTATTTTTTTTATATTTGCCACTATGTCTGATGCGTGTTTCTGGAGGTTATTGTGAAGGACTTATATTGTTTGTGTGTAGGAGACTTTTTTTTTTATTGTTTAGAGTTCTGCTAAACCCTCCACCTTTTTTTTAAAAAAAAAAAAAAAAATTCCAACACAAACAACAATTGCCAGCCAGCAATACCACCATCATTTCTCACAATATGTCAGTTACTAGTCAAATAGAAAACATCACTGCTCTTAGTATTTCAGATACAGATAAGATTCAAAAATATTTTGAAGTTTTCAATGGGATTTTTTTGGGAAAAGAGAATATCACAACTATTCATGAGTTTATTGAAGCTGTGATTAAGATTCCATATGGAGCAAGTATCATCCGAGTTGTATTTAATAATCTGATTGACGCTCTCAAAGCTAAAAACATCAACTGGGAGTTAGAAGAACAGATTTTGAAAACTCTTATTGATAATCTGGCGCCAATGCTCATGTCATTTGAGGAGCAGGACATTGCAGTACGACAGCGACTAGCGGATTTATACGAACAACATGATGAAAACATCAACGCATCCGTAATTTTAGAGCAAGGAATTAATCGACGCATTTTGACAGATGATGACAGGTTTGACTGGTACATTCGCATTGTGCGCAATCGACTCGAGGCCGATGATGCCACAAATGCCGAGGGTTTTTTGAACCGCGCAGCATTGCTTCGCCCTAAAATCAAAAACGTGCCGCCTGCTTCTATAGTTCACTTTAAGTTTTCACAAGCCCGTGTTGCTGATTCAAATCGCAACTTTATTGACGCCGCTCGCAAATACTATGATGTCTCAACAACAATGGATGTGGCACCAGAGGAGCAAATGGTGTGCTTAAAATCTGCAGTAACTTGTGTGATTCTTGCACCAGCCGGCCCTAAACGTTCCCAGGTTCTGCGGCTTATCTACAGCGATGATAGAACCCGCCAGTTACCGGACTTTGGGATTCTTGAAAAACTACACACCAATCGACTATTACGGCCTGAGGAACTTGTGTCTTTTGAGCAAGAGCTGCAACCACATCAACGAGTATCACTACCTGATGGAATTAGTGTACTAGCACGGTCTGTGATTGATCACAATATGTTAGCAGTGTCTCGAATCTACAGCAACATTAGCATTGAGCAGCTTGGTCGGCTTCTTGGTCTTGACAAAAACAAGGTGGAAGATTACGCGGGCCGTATGATTTTGCAAGGCAGACTTGCAGCAACTATTGACCAAGTTGATGAAGTTGTACAATTTATAAACGACGACGATTTTAGTAGACTGCATTTATGGGAAGCCCGAGTACGTGTTCTCTGCACCGATCTGGAGAACATTGTATCGGGCATTACACGACAAGAAGAGGTGCTGGCAGCAAAGGCAACAGCACCAGCCTCGGTCTAGAAATGAGCCGCATTATACAAGCCCTAGTAGGGTATGGTGTTACCCGGAGTATTTTTAAAAAAAATTTGTTGTGGTGAATTTTTTTTTTTTTTTTTTGTCAATGGTATAAAAAGGAGACATTTATGCCCATTCATACTTTTTTTAAAAAAAAAACATTTGACGACACTTACGACAATTATGATGCCTATGTAGTTTATAGGATGGAAATGTTACTGTTTCCACGAGTGATTTGAATGATTGAATGGTAAGTTATTAACAATTTTGCTTTTTTTTTTTATGGCATTCTCTTGACGACGCTTTAATGATGATATATCTACTCAGCTCACTCAGAATTTTTCAATTGCTGATAACGTTCCTACGTATTATTCTGATTTAAAGCAAGACTTTAAAAATGTTCTTTTGCCTTTTATTCTATTTGTAATCTTTTTCACTAACCGAATTTATCTAGATTTTAAATAATACTTTCTTCTTTTGATGGGTTTTGAATGACCCTGAGCGCGTAAACCGATGATGTAATGATTATATAATAAAATTGAAAAATAATGAACTACCTTTTTTTAAAAAAAAAACTGCCCAAACTTATGTTTACAACTTCTTTAAACTTTTTTTTTGCTTAAACTAAAACTCTTGTATATACAAAATCAATTTGCACACCATTAGCAATCAAACAATGACAGATGTTCTTGTGTCGACTTTAGTCCAGTCGGCTGCGTGGTCTGTTGGTCTTGATGAGTCTGGGGAAGACCCTCTACTGGACACGTCAGATCTTTTTTCTAAGGGATACTTGGAAGCTGCTCAGGCAGCTCTGGAGAAGGAGATTCTCAACCAAGTTGTAAGTTTCACAGCAGGTTGAACGCATGATATGTACAGGTTTCTAACAAGCTTTATTAGCAAAGCCTAAATGACACATTTGACAACATTGAATTTGACGAATATGCCAAAAACTTGGAACCCAGCAAGGACGAGCTCCGAGTGGTAGAGGAGGTCCGTACAAACGGTCTTATTCTTACTTCACTTGATGATCTATGGCTACTACGTGGTGGATATCAAGAGGTCCAAGCGCTTACCGATCTTGGGGAATATGCATCAGCACTTTCTTCGCTTGACAATGTGTACACTAAATTACGTGCTTTCAATGGTAAATGGGACACCGAGAAGCCCAAGCTCATTACCACAATTCAGGAGAAGCTTGATTCTACAAAGAAAAGCATAATTGATTCGATATATACTCAATGGGACAAGTCTCTACGCTGTGAAGAAAAGATTCCAGATGCCGACTCTTTGATAAAAAAAGCCTTACTTCAGGTCAAACTTTCTGATGAACTTGACAATTACAATTCCCTTTTTGAAGCACTTAGACATCTTGATGCATCAGAAATTAAAGAAAACCAGTTTGTTGCTTTCAGTAGGCTTGACAATTTCCTCACCTTTGTCGAAAAATACATCTTTCAGCCTGTTCTTGAGCTGAGAGTAGGTGAAGTTGAGCAATACAACTCTACACTAGTTTTGTCAGACATTCAGCGCCGTGTAGAATTCGTTCCACAAAAATCAGTATCCGATCTTGCCCAACAGCTTGTTTTTGTGTTGGACTTTCTGCACCATAGCCTTGCTGAAAAGTTTTCAGAGCTCTACGATAATATTAAGCGTCGCTCACTTACACGACTACTCTCAACGCTTCTTGGGAGCACTTTTACAGACTTGTTACCAGAACACGAACGGGACTTGGCCCAATTTGAGAAGGATCTCAATGCTGCGGCATTGACTATTCAAGATAAGCTTATAAGCAATGGATGGCTTTCTCCAGGTTCCGACGATTTGGTTTCTTGGGCCCAAAATCTTTCGGAAGTTTGGGTGGCTCATCGCAAACAACAGGCACTTGACGAGTTGCGCCATCGGTTATTTAAGATTGGTGAGGCCAAAGAGCTGAAACTTGTGCGTGTACTTGATGCAGAATTTTTGGAACATGGTTCTTCTGAACAGACTAAGGAACTGGAAGCTGATGACTGGGATGCCTGGAACGAAGAAGAAGAAGAAAAAGAACAAGAGAAAGAAGAACAAAAGAGTGAAGAAAAGAAAGAAGGTATTGAAAAAGAAGTTGGAGCTGATGATGGTTGGGACGCATGGGGTGACGAAGATCCGGTAATTAAAGACAATGAGGAGCATGTAGAAGAAGAAGAAGACCCATGGGAGAGTGGAGATGTTTCTGCTGATCCTGTGCCTGATTCTAATACAGAAGATGATCAGGAAGATCCATGGGGAGAAGAAGATCCTGTTATTGAGCCTGAAAAAGAAGCAGATTTGGAAGAAGATGCATGGGATGCTTGGGGTGATGAAGATGTAGCGGAAGAACCGATAGTTACTAAGACCAAATCACCACAAATAACACAGTCAACAACTCATGCAAATCATCAGCCCAAAATGCAGCACAAGGCGCGACATTCGCAACGTGATTCGCTCATGTGTAGTATTTCTGAAATTCCTGCGGCGCTTATTGACGTTGTTGATAAGTTTATTGCTGAGATTCAATTATATTTTACTGAGCATGAAAAAAAGCATCACATCCATCCAGAGTCTTCTATTTTACATTACAGTGAAAGTAACCATGCAGCAAAACAGATTGAAGCAAGCGTTTGCGATTTGCTGGCACTATACCGAGCAATTTCCCCCCTGGTGTATGGCGCTGCACCCACACCTTTAATTGTTTACAATGATATTGTACAGATTGTATCACGATTAGCGGCGTTAGCACCTAATGGGACTGCATTTGCATCTGAGAATGAGCATTTGTTTATGATGGCTGATGCCCAACTTTCTGGTGTAGTGGGAGAACAGCAAGGTAGGGTAGAAAAAATGCTGGCACTTGCCAATGGATTTTCTAACTGCAATTCCGAAGAGAACTTGTTTGTGTGCCAAGGTGCGATTGAGCGGACGACAAATGTTTTTGAGGAGCTTGCTGAGGTGTGGGAAGAGTGGATGTCGTTCCCTCAGCGGGTCAAGGCACTAGGGGTTTTGTTAGAGTATATTGCGACTGAGATAATTCGCGACATTGAGGCGCAAGAAAACATTTCTGAAGAAGAATCGATGGAGCTGGGCAAACTGATTAAGGTTGTTGTGTCACTGGAGCGAGTTGTGGAAGACCCAGAAGGTGTAGGACCACCTCACTTAGACTATACACCATCATGGATCAAGTTGCAAAGTCTTGCGCGGGTGCTTGAAAGCAACCAGGAGACAATTCTACACATGCTGCGGAACAATGAGCTTGTGGACTTTTCAGCTAAGGAACTGGACCACTTGATTCAAGCGTTGTTTGCTCCGTCCGAGTACCGTAATCAGACCATAGCTACGATATATAAAGAATGTGCTGAGTAAAGTTATAATATCTAATACTTAGTATTAATACATATATATAATAGTAATAAAAAAAAAGAATTTAGTTTTCGTTTTATCAACTTGGTACTCGGTTACTTTTAATTTTTTTTGTTGTATTTTTCAGACTTTAAAGATAAGCTACCGATATATGAAGACAATGCAAAAAAAAAAAAAAAAAAAACTGGAAACTTTTGTTTTTTTTTACTGAAAGCACAGTGTGGATCATTACCATGTTTAGGAAATAAGTAATCTACAAAAAAAAAAAAATTATTTATTTATTTATTTATTTACTGTGAAACTAACAATGATGAATGAGATTTCATTAGTTGAAACAGACTTTTATTCATTTTAATTTTTATAGAATATTTAGGGGAAAACAAAGAACTTAAAAAAAAAAAATTGTTATGGTGGATAACACATTGTTAGAAGTGGGTACAGTTTAAAAGAAAACTGGTATATTGTAGTTTGTCCTGTATATTTCAAAAAGATAAATTTAAAAAAAAAAAAGATTAAATATATAAAAAGTTGTTTTTTAAATAAAGTTGCTTTATTTAATTATCGTTTTAATTTATAAAAAAATTATTTGTTTTTATTCAAGGGTTATAGAATTATATAACATCAGCATCTGCGCTATCCTTCTTGTCCATACTATATTTTTTTTTTTCATTTTAATAATAAACTTTTAATTTTGTCTTCAACATTGCATCTCCAACAGCCCGAAAATAAGTCCCGATGCCAGCTTACGAGGAACAGGGGGTTAAAAATAACCAAACCTTCCCAACTTATCTCCACTTGTCTTCATCAACGCTGTATTTGAATTTCTTAATCCCTCCAAGCAGAGATAAAGCTTACAATCTCTTGTAAGCCAGTTAAACTGTTTAAGAGAGTCGACATGTCCATCTCTGGAGATATCCGTTTCAGTCCTTTTCTTTCCTCTTCAAGCAAAGGACACTCAACTAAAATGTGATGAACTGTTTCCAGCTCTCCACATTTGCAGTTGTAACTATCCTTTTCAATTCCAAACTTTTTAAACCATGCGCCAAAGTTGCCATGGCCTGCTGCACGATGTTTGAAAATTTTCGGTGATTTACAAATTTAAAAGGTTTACTTTATTTAGCTATTCTTAGTTACTTTTCTTCAAGAATCGAGGTGGTCTCTTGGCCCAGTTGGTTACAAGCGGCTTTGGCGCTCGTCGCTCCGCTCCTCGCGGCCGTAAAAAAGGCATTGTTAAAATTGTTAAGTAGGTATCAAGTTAGGATTGTCATTAAACGTATAAAGCGTAGGATATGTATGATTGCTAATAACGTAGTTATTAAAGTTAAACAACATCAAATTAGGTATTAATTTACGTTATTTTAAAAGGTTTGATTTTTATTGATTAAGTTATTGGAGAATTGATTATCAATATGTTTAACAATACTTAGAGTTTTATAAGTTTGGAGTTAAAATACTTTGTACTTTGAAAATTTCATGAAATGAAAGACATTCAAGACAATTTGTAGTAACTACATTAATTAACAAAAAAGAATATATATGCGTTTTGATGATTTTTTTTACTTTCAATTTTTAATATATATATATGACAGTCATTATCATTTATATATTTAATAACTAAATCATATTTGAATGATTAAAATAGGATAATTGAACTATTTATTGATGAATTAAAAAAAAAACTTTTTTTTACCTATTTAAGGCAAAACCCTAACCCTGATGGAAATCTAGAGGTAAAACCGATAGACATTCAAGACCATTTTTTTAACTACATTTATTATTAAATAAAAATAGGTATAAGTGTTCATATTTGTTTTTTTTACTTTCAAATCCAATTATATATGTTTGACGGTTATTATCAGAAAAAAATTATTAATTATTTAATCAAGTTTGAATGATTAAAATAGGATAATTGAACTATTTATTGATGAATAAAAAAGATAACTTTTTTATACCATTTTAAGGTAAAACCCTAACCCTGATGCTGAGATTGGTAGGTTCTTAAATATTTTCAATTATTTAAACGTTAATTAAATGAATAGGATGGATGAATTGTTCTTATTTTTAAATAAAAAATTTAGCAAATAATGTGGGAAATATTAGGATATAATTTTGTCCTTTAAAAATTTCATAAAATGAAAGACATTCAAGATAATTTGTAGTAACTATATTAATTACTAAATACGAATATATATGCGTTTTAATCTTTTTTTTTTATTTTCAATTTTTAATATATATATTTGACGGTCATTATCATTTATATATTTAATAACTAAATCATATTTGAATGATTAAAATAGGATAATTGAACTATTTATTGATGAATTAAAAAAAAACTTTTTTTTACCTATTTAAGGCAAAACCCTAACCCTGATGGAAATCTAGAGGTAATACCGATAGACATTCAAGACCATTTTTTTAACTACATTTATTATTAAATAAAAATATATATGCGTGTTAATATTTGTTTTTTTTTTTACTTTCAAATCTCATTATATATATTTGACGGTCATCATCAGAAATATTATTCATAATTTAATCAAGTTTGAATGATTAAAATAGGATAATTGAACAATTTATGGATGAATAAAAAAAGATAACTTTTATTACCATTTTAAGGTAAACCCCTAACCCTGATGATTGGATCGGTAGGTTCTTAAGTATTTTCAATTTTGTTAAATGTTAATTAGATGAACTGGGCAGGATAATTTTTTTTATTTTTAAATCAAAAAATAAGTAAATTTCTAAATCAAATAATCAGTATTTGTTTTACTTTAAAATGTTCAAATATGAAAGACGTTCAAAGCATTTATTTCTTACTAAATTTAGGCGATTTCATATATTTTTCTTTTGATTTTTAGATTTTATTATATTTATTTGATAATTATTAATACAGATTTAATAATTTTATTTTTCTTAAATGGTTTAAATATTGTATTAATGTAATTTTTTGGTGAATTGAAAAACAACAATTTTTTCTAATTTAAGGCAATTTCTTAACCTTGAAGTTTCAATCAGTCTTATTGCAAGATAATTAAATGCGTCTGTAGGGTAACTCTTTAATTTTTTTTTAATTGTAATATAATTGTTTTCTTTTTATATATTCTACTAATTACATTGAGATAATTATAAAAAGATTAAGTTAAAAGTCGATATCGATTTGGTTGTATCAATTTTATTTGATGAATTTAATGAAAATTTTTGATTTTTATTTATAATTAGTCTGTTCTTGTGGATTAATTAACATAAAATAAGTGTATAACTTGTATTTTTCTATTTTTATGAGTATATTTTCCGTTGGTATTAGAGAGGTTTTATTTATGTAATTAAAAAAATGAAAAATATTAACATATAATACATAAATAACTTGCATAATTGTTTAATATTTATTCCTTATCAGTATCCTTGCGGCTTTTGTTGATATTTGTGTTGTGAGAATTTTCATTCATTTAATAAAATTTTTATGAATTAATCAATTAATAATAATGATTAAAAAAATAATTTTTTTGATGGGGTGATAATTTTTGTTGATGGAATAAAAAAGAAGAAAAAAAAAAATAAAAAAAATAAACAAATTTCCGTATTAGGAAACAGATTAAAAAAGTTGTGTCAAAAGTGGAATTATTTTTTTAAAAATTACCTAAATAGGAAATTATTGAACGTGTAGATAGTGGTAAACGAGAAAAAAGGAAAGTAAAAAAGGCGAGGTTTCATGGCCCAGTTAATTGACAAGCGGTTTTGGCGCTCGTCGCTTCGCTCCTCGCGGACCCGCAAAAAGTAGAATTAGAAATTTTAAACGGGTAGCAAGAAAAGTTAGATATTACGTCTAAAATATTAAGTATATAGCACTGTTTATAAAGTAGATTATGAAGTTAAAAGATGTAAAAAACAAAATAGCTTGGTATTTACGATATTTCAAAAGGTAAAATTTCTTTGGATTAGAATATTCATGGTTAAGTTGTCAAAGTTGTCAAAGTTGTCAAAGTTGTCAAAGTTGTCAAAGTTGTCAAAGTTGTCAAAGTTGTCAATATTTTTAATATGATTTAAGGTGATATAAGCGTGGAGTTGAAATATTTTGTATTTTGAAATTTTCATAATATGAAAGACATTTAAAACAATTATTGTTGTAACTACATTTATTATTAAATAAGAATATATGTCCTTTTTGATGTTTGTTTTTTACTTTTTAATCTTATTATATTTATCTGACGGTTATTAATATATATATTATTAATATTTTGGTCAAATTCAAATGGTTGAAATTGAATGGTAGAATAATTTATTGATGAATCAAAGAAAAATGAATTGATAAAGTTTTTATCGAAACCCTAACCCTGATGTAAATTTTGCGATTCCTTAATGTTTTCAATCTTGTCAGAAATTAATAAGATGAATAGAATAGTATAGGTTTTTTTATTTTTTTTTTTTTTTTTTTTTATATTTTAATTTTACACAAAATATTTGCATATAATATGGACAGATCTTGGAAATGAATTATGTTGTGCTTTAAAAATTTCAGAGATTTCAGAAATTTCAAAAATTTCAAAAATTGAAAAACATTCAAGATAATTTGTGGTAATTATTTATCACCGAATAAAAAATATATATCTTTTTAAAGGTTTAATTTTCATTTTGAAATAATGTTACAGATACTTGATGATAATTAATGTAGAAATTATTAATAGTTTCATCAGTTTTGACATGGTTTAAATAAAGTAATTCCATAATTTATTGATGAATCAAGAAAAATGAATTGATTGAGTTTTCATCAAAAACTTTAACATTGATACCAATTTTGCAATTCTCTAATGTTTTTAATCAATTTTATCACAATATAATTAAATGGGCAGGTAGGGTAACTCCCTGACTTTTATTTTTTTTTTTATTTTTTTTTTTTTCAATTCTGATTTAATTTTTTATTTTTATTTTCATTTTCAATTCTGATTTAATTTTTCATTTACATTTTCATTTTCATTTAAGATTTTTTGATTTTTTGATTTTTTAGT